ACTCTATCTAATTAATTGTATTCCAAATCAAAGTGAAATTGTTAAAAATCAACAAAAATTCAACCACCAACATCAATTGAGATTGGAGTTACTCCATCTCAAATACCCCCACCAAACCCCCACCAAGCTTGAAAAGTGATATTTTGGACAAATTCATCATTTAAAATACAAATAAAAGCAAAGTGAAAATACCCCCACCAAACCCCCACCAAGAATAAAAATGGATTTGACTGAGAAAATTTGGAAAGTGGATAAAAAGTCATTGATGATTATGGTGAAAGGCAAATTAAAGGACATTTTTCCAGATGAAACTAATTGGTTAAGTTTAGAGCCTTTCGTACCTGGACTCATTTTACATGAAGAACCAAATTATGATCAAGAGAAACGTGTGATGGATATTGGATGTAGGTTCTGCAACCATATCCCAATCAACCCGATCAAGTGTTGTGAATGCAAAGCATTCTACTGTCGTGCTTGTTTCTTCCTATTATATTGCATTCGCGAACATTCAAAAGGAAACCCAGAACCCAATATGGATGAAATTTTGAACAAGCAATTCTTTTGTATGGTGTGTCCATCATCAACTTTAACCAAATCATTACGCTTAAATAGCGATGAAACGCTAATGTTAAGTAAGCTAATCGTGAAGTGCCGTTCATATGAATATGATTATGTTGGAAACTATTATGACGTTTTAAAACATCTTCAAAATTGTAAATCTAACAATTTCAAAATAGTTTCACTATTGAATTTGTATTATTTCAAAATGAAAGAAATGGAAAAAGAAGGATCCGTGATAGAGAAACTCGATCACAGATCATTAGCTAACAAAGAAGAGTTTGTAAAAGCTTTGGACGTTAGATTAATGATTCAAAATCCTGAATTGTTCGTACCACCATCAGGATTCACAGCCGAAAAAGTAACAAGAGATCCATATGATAAAAATAAAACGAAAACAACTAGAATTGGAATTTCCAATGCTCTTCAAAGATCAAATTCGAGTGGAGTTACTCCATCGAATCCATTAGAAGGAGCCTCGTTTTGGTATCCATGCAACGATGAATTAATCTACAGCAGTGAGAGTGGATCTAGTCAGAACAAAAGTAGCCAAGAAAGTGATGCTGAATCGAAGAAACGAAAATCACCGATTCGTAAGACGATTTGGGTAAAAAGCATCATAAAGAAAAACAATGTCGTGGAAAAACCATCGGAGGAGAGTTGGAATTGTTCACCAATTGGAAAAAGTCAGCCGAAAATAGCAGAAAAAGATAATTGGGAATCATCAGTACCAATAGCAGCTAAGGTTTCGTCACCACCAGAATTCATTAATTGGGCTGATGGAGTTACTCCATCAACATCAACTAGCACCATTGGTCGATTAATGGTTCCAGATGAGTATGATTCAGAAGATGAATGGACATCAGAATCAAAAAGAAAACAAATTGAACTCAATCTGAGAAGAGAAATGGAACCTATTGCAGCCAAACCAAATCGCAAAAAGACTGAAGCCGAGATCAGAGCTGATAGGACATTGACAGCTAAACAAAGAAGACAAGCTATTCACAATAAAAGACAACAAGAGAAACGCGATCGAGAAGGAACGTTACGAGGTCAAGATAAAAGGCGAATGGAAATTACTAACAATTTCTTGTTAGAAAATACAAATAAGAATGGAACGTTTAGAGTCAAATCAAATATTCACCTTGCTCGAATATACAAAACTTACAAAGAGTTGGATGAACAAAACATCAAAATCTGTGCGATTGATGTTGAAAAGTGTCAAATAAAAACAAGAAGTGGAATCAAGGATTTACCGGTTTGGGTTACAATCATCGATACAGAAGCCAAAACAAGATACAACAAATTGATTCGATATCCGAAAGCTTCAATTCATGATATGAAAACTATTTTCCATGGTGTTAAATACGAACATACCAAAGGATGTGGAAGTTTGAGTAAAGAGAGAAAAGAAATTATCAGCATTCTTATTCAGTATGATCGTATAATCGTAGCCGGAGGGCATGGAGATTTTCTATCCCTTGGATTTGATTGGCACGATTGGAATATAATAAGACCGAAAATCAGAGACGTCAACTACTATTACACGTGTAAACGATCTAATAGAGAGGTTGATGAAATGATTGGTTTAAAGTTAATCACCTTTACTTTATTTGGAACAATTATTCAAGAAGGTTGTCATTCACCTTTTATTGATGCTGGTTACACACTTTTATCGTATCTAATTGATTATAAGGAGTTTGAAAAAGCTCATGAACTGGCAGCTCAAAAGAATTCACGATTTGTCAACCCGTTACCAAGAGTTGAATATGAACCGAACAAACAAATGGCCGAATTAATAAGAAGAATAATGAACATTATCAATGATTGGCCATGGGAATTAAGGAAACCAGTTCAACAAGGATGGAAGGCATCTCCATCCTTCAGAGAGGATACACTCGTAGATACGGAAGGAGTTGAATTGAGACCACCGTTTTCCGAAATTGATATTCGTTTATTCAACAAATTCATTCAAATCAACAGAGAAGAACAACCCAATTAAAGCCTTAAGGAAATGAAGACCAAGGAGGCGATTGATCCAAGGAAATTTAGACGTTCGAGACGGCAAAATGACCTTGTCTCTGATTCGACACCCTAGGTCATCATCAAGCAGGGGGCTCTGTTAAGGGATTAGGCTTTATTTGTGTTGTAATTATCTTTAAATATACGCGCTTAGAACACAGCGACACCTTTGTAATCATTTTTACGTAAACTCTTGTATATATTAAGGGTGAATTGGATTGACAACTCAATCCACTTCCGAGTTACCCTTTAATATACAATTACCCTTTGTACTTCAATTATGTTTCACTAATCACCTTAATTACTTTTGATTCAACCTTTACTAACCTCTAATCCTATCCAATAATCATTAAGCTTTTGTGTACCTTTTGAAATAATTACCTTTCGTTTATTAAAATCTACATTTCAAACTGATTCGATCTATTGTCAATGTTGTCCTTACAATAATAATAAGGATATTATTATCAAATTGTGGCACAATCAACAAAACAATAGTTATATAAACGTCACAATTTGTCTGTACAATTATATTATCATCACAAACAAACTTAGCAATAAGTTAATCATCATCATAATTATAACATTACTGTAACCATCGAGCTTATCTTTAAACATATAAAGTCGGTGTAATTATCAACAATTAAGATAAAATTAAAGTCTCAACTTATTATTATGAAAAAAAAGGAGAAGATAAATAAACAAGAGTTGATTAGTTTTGGGATAACAAGTAAATGATTAAAATGAAATGTTCAAGTGATCAGAAATTGATAACTTTTGATCAACAATTAACATGATATGAAAACTTATATAACCCTTGAAACAATTTTAAATTGTTGTTATGTAAGTTTTTAACGCGCTAATTGTGAGTAACCATCATTTTTGATCGCCGGTTTTCATTGATTAAATTGTTCACATAATATCAAGTTGATTGTATCATTAAAAAGAAGAGAAAAAAGATCATTAAGAAGAGAGAGAGAGAGAAATCTAGGAATGAGCTGATACTCCTTTTTAAAAGAAAGTAAAAGTGAATGATGGAAGAAGAAGATGATGAAGATGAAGATAATAATGATGAGGCAAAGATAAATTCAAAAGATAAATGAACTCATCTTTAACTGGTCACAACATGATAACCAAAATGATATAACATAATAATCGCCCTCAGGCAATGAATTAATAACTTTTTACCCCTTTTTCTTATACCATCTCTAAGGTATCTCTTTGTTCAATGTTTCAAATATTATTCAGGTTTAAAACATTATAATGAATCAAATTTTTTTTTTTCGGCGAATCAGTAAAAAAAAGTTAAGATGGAAGATTAAAATATATTTTAACTGATATAAAATGATAATAATAATTGTTTCCATTTCAATTGAATAGTGTTCAAGGTTAAAAAATTGTTATTATGATAATTTTTAAGTTGAAAGAAAAAAAAATTAACTCAAGACCCACATCGATAATAATAATACTAATCAGTATATTGCTATTTGACTTAAAACAGGATAACCTTAATCAAGGTTGTGATCAAAACAACTGAGATTCATTGCAATAGTTATGTTATGATTATAATTGTGGGAATAAGTAATCAAACGGTAATCAGTTAGAGAGAAAAGGATTAAATCAATATGAGTAGATGATCTTGTCTATTGTTTTTCTTGTCATTCTTTGGAATCAGTGTTTAATGATAACTATTAGATTATCGGGAAAAAAAAGAGGTGATGGATAGGATGTGTATCTTTTACAGGTTTTGATTGTAATAATTGCGAAACATAAGAAAAAGAGAATGAAAATTAAAAGGAATATATGAATTAAGAATTAAGAATTAAGATAAAAGGTAAAGAAAGAGATGGAGAAAGGAAACAAAAAAGGAAAGAAAGTTAAATAGGTCACGATTAATTGAAGGAAGATCCTTGAAAGGATGTAGCATCAACAAACAAAAACAACAACAAATTTGAGGTTGATCAACAAGAAGAGGATGAAATTAGTGTTAATATTAAATTTCTTAAAGTCATCTGACAAACTTTCCACTGTCTTTTACAAGTGAGAGGATAAAGATGAGAGGGAGAGGAGAGAGTATGAGTGAATTTAAACTGTTTCTAACAAGGGAACAACAAATCATGAAGTGACTTTTAATTCCTTGTCATCATCATTAGTATCATAGATATGAATGATTTAGCAGAAGCATAAGAGAGAGATGAAAAGAGTAAAAAAAAAGATAATAGAGTGAGATAAAGGAGAGAAAAGAAATACTTGCCAGAGTATATGAAGTAAAAGAAAATAAAGAGCGAGAGAGAGAGAGAGAGAGAAGAGAAAGAGAGAGAGAGAGCTTGTTGATTGTGATGATATTATTTCAAAGGTGATTGCAATGGTTGATAATAAATTCTACGAGACATGATGATGATATGATTGATTTAGAAACTTACGCTTGAGAAGATCACTAAATGCTTTTGGACAAGTTGATGGTATGTGTAGGGTGAGTTTATTAATCGCTACTCCGTAGGCTACGGCCAGAGGATCGATTCCTCTGTAAGGAACTTCTCCTGTTAATAGTTCCCAAAGGACTACACCAAAACTAGAATTAAAAAATATAGATTAGGGGAAGAATTAAAATTTGGTTATTCATTTATAACCTAAATCTCAATTGTTACCTCCAGACATCACTAGATTTAGAAAATGTTGATGTTTTAATTACTTCGGGTGCCATCCAAGCATAGGTTCCAGCCTGTGACATACGAGATGTTTTGTAAATTTCACGAGCAAGTCCAAAATCGGTGATTTTCAATTCTTTTCCTCTCCAATATTGATCCACAATTGTTTCATTAAGGAGAACTAGGAAATAAAAGAAAAACATTTCATTGATAAATTTGATTTTGTTTTAAGAGTGAAAACAAATTTGTATTAATATTATTACCATTGCCTGACTTTAAATCTCGGTGTATTAATGGAATCGGAGCTTTACAATGAAGATAATCCATTCCTGATGCAATCTGAATCGCCCAATCGACAATTATATCTGGTGGTATCTTCCGTCCAGCTAGAACACGATTTAATGGTCCACCTCGACAGTATTCAAGTACCAAACAGAGATTCGGTTCATCTAAACAAACTCCGATTAATGAGACGATATTTGGATGTTTTAAAAGACGAAATAATTTTGCTTCTTGGAGAACGTTGTCCATGACTACTTTTGCATCATCATCTTGCTCCCGACGAGCCGCTTTGACGGCAACTTCTCTATGCTCATAAGTACCTAAGTGACAAGATGAAAAGTACAGAATACGAGAGAGGTATGAAGGGAGAGAGCGAGAGAGAGAAGGGGTGAGAAAAGAGAGGAAATGATAAAATCAAATGTATTATTAGTTGTATCAACATAGAGACACACCGAAACTTATTTAATTCCCACTTAAAAAAGGGAAATCTTGAGTATTGGTATTAAAGAAAATGGAGTAAAAAAACTAATAAACAAATATAAGGATAAAGAAATTAATCAATCACATGAATAGATTATTGTGATTATTTTTACTCTTCTTCTTTCCTTTTGATATCTTACCTCGATGAACTTTACCGAAACCTCCGATGCCGATAACCTCCTTGAGCTCAATCTCATCGAATCGAATGATATTCATAACAGATAAGCAGCTATTCCTCTCAGGTGATAACAAGGAGCTTGAAGAGGCGAGAGGTTTAACGAATTCAGCTGGAAATATACCGACGTTTTCGCCGATTTTACCAGTCCACCAGCCCTCATCACCAGAAATTGTGACATCTTTTGATAAAACCTGAACTTTTTGACCTTTACGAAGAGTAAGTTCATCTTGCCCTGAGGCACTATAATCGAAAATAGCAGTATAAATATTGTTATTGTTATAATTTCGAAGTTGAGCTATTGAGGCATAACCATGATCACGACCATTGGTATAAGAATTTTTATTCTCATTTTTATGTCTCGCTTTGAATTTATCCATCTAATAAGAAGAGAGAGAGGAAAAAAAGTGAGATAACAATCGGATGGAGAAGGGTGAAAAAAGTAAGGTGAGAACAAGAACTACACAAATGATTATATTTATAGAGAAGGTGATGAAAAAGGAGAATCAATGGAATAGAAATTATATCAAAATAACTAAATAGAAAAGGTAAAGAGAAATAAAAAAGAAATCACAATCATAACAAGTGATGAGAATGTAGGATAAAAAAAGCAAAGTTAATATGTCACAAACCTTGATGGATAATCTCAAAATAGAAAAACCAATCTGATTATATCACAGGATTAGAGTTGAATCACGATCACAATTAAGAAAAGTATAAAATATCTATCAGATTAGCGATGATAAACCAATGGAGAAAATAAAAGAAAACATCAATTGGGCAAAGAAAATAAACATTAAAAAAAAGAAAAAGAATAAATAATAATAGAGATTCTCTTCAGATTCAAAAACAAAAAAGAAACAAATGAAAATACTCAAGAGAATCAATTCTAATTCTTAGATGGAAACATTTGGATTCACAGAATTTAATTAAATCACAGAAAATCAGGTGAAGAACAATTAACAAAATAAAAGAAGACAATTAAAGTGAAACAATTGAAAACAGTGAATTTAAACCATCAAAGGTGGAAAATTAATCAAACCAAATTAAGGATTAATAATTTGACTCTTTCTCTCTCACAAATAAACTGAATTAAAAGAGAGAAAAACATTTTCTCTTTCTCTTTCTTTCTCCGAGAGCGGCGGCTCATTCAGCCGATTCCATTTTCTCGGCTGAGAAAAGGTAAACACTTCAATTGGAAAATTGAATTTTCTTTTTCGTCTCTCTAATCAATTGAACAATTGTTTTTCTAATCATCTAAATATAAATTGATTTAATGGACAATATAACTTTCTCATATCTTGTACATCGTTTTAACCTTCAAAATAATTGGTGACAATGGTTATAAATGGAAAACTAAACCAATTTGAAAAGCATAACAATGATTTTGGTTTTGATTTTTGTTCTTGGACAAGATTAAAGTTAATTTTGTTTTTTAAATGGGAGAAAAAGTTTGTTAGCTTAATATTATGTATATAAATAAGTAAATTGTGTGAATGAATATTACATTGGCTATTAAGAGTAGGAGGTTGATTTTTTCGTTTGTTGGTTTAAAAGAAAAATGAAATTATTTAAATATCTAAGAATCAATAGTTTTGGATGATTCTGAAAGGTTCCAAAAGTTTACAAATATCTGCATCTTTGTGGTCATCGGTTGTCCAATAAGGTCCGATGACGATTGGTTTTAATTTGGACACTTTTTTACTTCGAGCTTTGAGTAGATCTTCTTCTTTTATTAGGGTGATATGTTTCTTTGGGGCTTCGTCTTCGTCTTCTTCTTCACCTTCACTTGCTTCTTCGTCACCGGAAAGATGACCATGTGGAACTAGAAAATCATCCATTTCGAAATCATCGACACCATTTCGAGAAGAATCTGAACCGGAAGAAGCAATTGATTCACCTTCTTCATCTTCACCGTCCCATTCTTCTTCACTGTCAACATCATAATCGAAAAATTGGCTATCTCTTGCCCATGGTTTTCGCCCGTTTATGATTTTACTTCGTTTTCTCCATGTACCATAATAAGCTGGTCGAATATCGGAAAGATCAAAGAATTTGGCCTTGTATGTTTTCTTTGGTGTTGGTTCTTCGATTATAAGAGCGGATGAATTTTCCTCTTTAATTTGTTCTAAATCATCTTTACTCAACTTAATAGGATTAATTTTACCAGATTTAAGTTGATTTATGTAACAATCTTGAGCATTTGAACTTTGAGAAGTAACTAAGTCTTCAAATTGGTCACAATCAAAACGCTGTTTAGAAAATGATGGCACGTAAACAGCTAATGTTTGGAAGGGTTTTAATTGGAATGGTTTGAAGATGGAATTTGCTGTCGCTGTTTCGGGTTCGATTCGAGGTTTTTTGGTGGCACTTTCCGATCCGGTTGACGTTCGTTTAAAGAAACTGATGAAACTCTGTGACACTCGGGCTTTCTTACGCTCTTCAGCTTCAACTTGTTTCTTTTTCTCTTCTAGGGCTTTGAGTCGTTCTTCTTCTTTCTTTTTCCTTTCTTCCTCTCTTTTACGTTTTTCTTCCTCTTTTTCAGCCTCTTTCTTTTTTCTTTCTTCCTCTTTCTGGCGTTTTTCTTCTTCTTTACGTTTTCTCTCTTCTTCTTTTTCCTCTTCTCGTTTCTTACGTTCCTCTTCTCGGCGTTTTTTCTCCTCTTCTTTTTCTTCTTCTTTTTTCTTTTTCTCTTCCTCTCGTTTTTTACGTTCTTCTTCTCGACGTTTTTTCTCTTCCTCTTTCTCCTCTTCTTTCTTTTTCTTTTCTTCTTCACGTTTTTTCGCTCCTCTTCTTTACGTTTCTTCTCCTCTTCTTTTTTCCTCTTAGCTTCTTCAATACCCTCTAACCGTTTCCTCTTCTCCTCTTCTCTTCTGATCCTTTCCTCTTCTCTGACTTTTCGCCGGCCACTAGAACACTTTTCATTATCACCAGAGTCCGAAGAATCACTGAAACAATACAAATAACAAAAAGAAAAAGAAAAAACAAACAAAATCAAATAAAAAAATCACCAAAGAGAAAAAAATAAAAAAAAGAACAAACAAAAATACGATAAAAACCCCAAACCTGAGATAAGAAAAAAGTGATAAACTTACCAAGATCCATTCTTTTCAGGGGTAACACAAGGTGAAGGTATTTTAACTCTTTCCAATGGAATAATTGGATCACAAGAGACCCACACTTCTTTAATAGCTTCCATGCTAAGAAATTAACAACAATTAAAAATTAAAATCAATTAGATTAAAGAACAGTAAACAATAACCAAATTAGACAAGATTCTTGTCACAAGAAGAAAGAAGCATTTAAACAAATTCCCGCCGAACATAAACAAAGGCTATTCGCACATAAAGTTATCTTTAAATAGAAAACGAAAGTAACTCCATCTGTTAGATAATAGATTAACTAATGAGAGAATTTTTTTTCTTTCATGTTAATTGTTCATGTGGTTAATTGTAATCAATGAATTTGGAGAATTAGAAATGGAAAAATTTTAAATTTCAGGTTATATTTGAGGTTGATTTTGTTTAGAATAAATGGAAAAATTTTTAAATTCGATGAGAATTTGTTTGTATTGTTTGTGTTTTGAGAGATAGCATAAGGAAAAGCCATTCATTTATTACAATTTAATTTGACGAATATAAAGATTAATTATGATGTTGATTGATAATTGGAATATTGATATTGATATATTAGCTTATTCGGGTTCAACTCGAATTTTATGTAGATATTTTGGATTAATTGCAATCTCATGGTTCATTTTACGAAGATTTTCATCCAATGCAATACAAGTTTTCATCTGTCAAAAATGAATAGTTAATGAAAATTAATTTCTCACAATTTAAGATGATTAAAGTAATTTTACCTCTTCTTCAAGTTTTCGGAAAACTTTTGCTGTGTTGAACTTTTCAGGATTATCCAAGAAAACAACCATACCATCCTTTTGATTGATAGAGGCAAATATTTCTCCATCTTCAATCTAAGTCAATCATTGGGGAAAAAAAGACAAAATTAACTGATTGTCGGAGAAAGTGAAAAAAAAACTCTTTTATCAAAGATCAACGAACCATTTTGAGTACATAAAATTCAGCCTCTTTGGCACTAGAAAGTTGAACTCGATCAGCCATATCAATGAGAGAAAGGGTTAAAAAGGTTTTCGTAAGCCGTTGAATGTTTTTCTTATGCAAGGCACCAAACATTGTTTAACTAATCCCATATTGTTATCCTTAAAGAAGAGATTTGAATTAATGATTAAACAGAATTGAATTTTGTCATTTACATCAACTTACTGTGGTGAAAGATGAAAAATACTTTTGAATGACATTTGAAAGTTCATTTGAATCGTGAGAAACGTAAGCATTTGCTACACTTTTATAAGGGACACTCAAAGTTTTACTAAATCGGACAACGATGCTTGAAGTATATTTTGGAAGATTGGGAAATTTACCATCCAGTATAAGTGATACGAGGACATATTTTTTATAAGCTTCCATCATGATCATACTAACAGCCATGGCTGGAGTTGTGAGACAAACTTCAAAAAAGTATAACGATCTGTCCCAATTCTTGAGAGCGGCATAAATCATACCACCATAGTAATAGTAAAGTAGAAAGTATTTAACTTCAGCTTGTCCCATATCTTTGGCAATACTGTTAACCTCAACATCTAGAAACTTTAACGCTGGTTTAAAACATTTAGCCAAGATACACAATTGACAAAGATCAGCGTGAATGAAAGTTAATGATTCTGGTGAATTTGAATTTTGGTTATAGCTTTTTGCAGGTGAACAATTCCTCGTATAGCTTGTTTTTTATGGACCAGAAAATTAGTATAAGAATGAATCAATGAGTTATCTGTAAATTTAAAGTTAAAAGGTAAAAGGTAAAATTAAAATAGAAACATAATTTCATCTAATCAACCACAATAATAAAGGTCAAAGATGCTTACAATTATCAAGAGCAGATCTAACTTGTTCAGCAGTACAGCCAGAGATGAAGTCTTCAATCATGTTCAATAAAGATTCATTATCTTTGGCTCCTTCTAGACCTGATTTGCAAACCCTACGAAGAATACAAAAGATTTAATCAATAATAAAGAAATAATTATAATCAATTGAACAGAAATTATACTTACAAAATCATTAATACTCCAAGAGAGTGTTCTTGTAAATCAAATGTTTGCAGAATATCATCCAGAGAGGAATAATTTTTACTTAGAAGATCCTTATTCTTATTACATATTTCATTTAATTTATCGAAATTACCTATGGATGAAGAGTAGAAAATTTTTAAATTATGTGAAAATAGTGAGAAAAGCAAATTAATTGATTAAAAATTAGATTGAATTTGAAAAAAAACATAAAGACACAAATGTGGAAAATAAAACAAAGAGTATCAATATTGACAAGGAAAATCTACTAACCGTTCGCAGATAAATTACAAACACTAGTTGCAAATTGGTCTAATGAAGATGTCATTTTGTTGATCAACGTTTGTTGCCCTTTAAATACTTCAATCACAATAAATTAATTAACAAAAATTAAACCAATGTTCAGGTTAAAAAATGATCAAATCAAAAGATCAACAGTCAACACATGATGTGAATAGAATCTCGAATGGAGCTGCCATCTGGTGAGAAGTAAAAAAATTATGGAAATTCTAAAATTTCCTGAATCGATTTGTTATTTTTACTCTTCTTGATCCATTGATTTTATTATCGCCATTTAATTGATTATCTTTTTTCAATTTATTAATTTTATTTAGTGGTTTTAATCAATTAACAATCTTATTGATTTGTAGTAAACCTGAGAAATGTAAGGTTTCCATTAAGTTTTTAATGATGTTTCTTTTCGGATGATGTGACCATAGTTTTTATTTTCTCGGTGGATATTGTGATAATTAAATTAATTCCATGGGTTTAATTGTCATGATTTCTTTGTTGTTTTTAATTTTACCTTCATTTTGTTGGACTCAAGAAGGTGTTGTTCACATAAATGAACAACCACCGACTGTAAAATCTTCAGGTTTATACTCTATTGAGGGAAAAATTTTCCCAGCTCCAAATGTCTCAATTTCTTCATCTTGGTTTACTGCGACAAGGATTATTGTCAATTATGGACAATTTCTTGGTTTTATGAAGTAAATTAAATCTTCTATATTGTATTTTCTATCTTTTTATCTTAATTTCAATTTCAATTTAATTGTGTTTTTCGGTTTTCTATTCGCAGGAAAGATGGAACCTTTGAAATAGGACAAGTACCACCGGGTTCCTATCTGGTTGAAGTGACAAATCCTGATCTATTTTACAAGCCAACAAGAGTCGATATAAATTCAAAAGGAAAAATTCGAGCTCGAAAAGTCAATTATATTCAAAGTTCAGCCGTTCAGCAAGTTACTTATCCACTGAGATATCGACCTCAATCTCCATTTAAATACTTCCAAACAAGAGAAACCTGGAGGATCACCGATTTCCTCTTTAACCCTATGGTTTTAATGATGGTTTTACCTTTAATCTTAATCATGGTCTTGCCGAAAATGATGAATGCCGCTGATTCAGAAACTCAGCGAGTAAGTATAATCTAAACGAATCAAATCTTCACAATTCACAATTCCAAAAATTTAATCTTCTTTCCATTCACCAACAGGAATTACAGAATAGACAAATACCAAAATATGATGTCCCCGAATTGTCCGAAATGATGACCAATTGGTTTACCGGTGGATCTCCTGGTGCTAGTAAACCCGATTCTTCAAGTACCAAAAAATTGTCCAGAAAAAAATAATAATCTCATCAAATTACAACTTCTAAGTCAATAATTGCGAACACTAGTCTTTATATACCGAAGAAGAAACAAAAAAATCGTATCTCGAATTGATAGAAATCAATTATCACAACAAGTCATTTAAAATGTTACACACAATTAAAATGTGTAACATATTCTCATCTAATTGAATACTTAACAATTAAACTATTTAATTGAACTTTTATTTACATTAATTTTTGTCTGAACAAGAATTAAAAATTTCGATTTACAATCAAATTACTTTTTCTCCGCTCCTGGAACAGTTTCCATACCTTTATGTTTAGGGAAACTCTCATTAAATTCATTGGTAACGATATTTTCTCCAGAACTTTTCCCCATGAAAGAATATTTTTTATTCAATTGTTCCTTTTGCTTATTATCGGCATTCATTTTCTTCATCTCACTAATTTTCAAATTTTTCAGAACTTCAGCTTCACTTGGAGGATCTTTTCTTCTGTATCTGTTGGTAATTGTAGAAGAACAAATCAAATTAAATCAGTTGATTTTCTTTCCAACAATTTAAAATACTTACCTTAACCATGCATCCCATTCAGGTGATATTTTATTCAGAATATCAGAATTTCCTGGAGGACAATGATATCTAGACAATTGTCCTCTGAAATTAACTTTATCATTCTCATAGAATATATTTCCATAAATATCTTTACCGACAATCTTTTCTTTGGTAGGTTGATATTTAATAATTTTCGTTAATTGTTGCCAAATAATAGAAAACAATCCAGGTCTATGATAATCAGAGAGAAAATCAAAAAAAAATTAAGAAAATGTTACCAATTAAATCACTTTGGTTAGTCGATTGAATTTATATTCAGTTATGAACAAAATAATCTAAAGACTATTTGATTAGCTTTTATTTTCTTACCTGTTACTCATATTTGAAGATTAAATTGTCACAATTAAAAGGGATAAACAATCAGTGATTGAACCACAACAATTAAATTGTTGAAAACGATTCAAATGAAATTTTCATTTTGAAAAAACATAAACAAACAAACACATGACTTAACATTTGGAAAAATAAAAAAGCGGGAATTTAGATTCACAATTTAATTGCGATTTTCTCAAATAATTAATCAGTTCAACAATTAGTCGAGTGAACAATTAACAATCAATTCAAATCTGACATTTTTCATCTAAATTAAATATTCGATTGATTTTTGCTGAGAGAGAGTCAGAATTGATTCTCATTGAAAATTTGATTGATTTCCATAGATGAGAAACCAATTCAATTGGAAACATTTTGATCAAACAATTAACTAATTATTGAACAATTTACCCATTTCTCCGTACAAACAATTAACACTAAAACAAAATGTTTAAACAAATTTCTTGCGACAATCAAAGTTTACCAACTACAAACAATTAACAAGCAAAACTTAATCAGTATAAATAAATGATAATTTCCAACACAATTTAGTAATTTTATTTAAATTGTTGATATATTTAACCTTCAAATGATAATTATAAAACCCAATGAACCGTTGATTAAAGGTTTGTAGACAAAATTAAACAGTAACAATCAAGAACATTACAATTATTAAAGGTAACGGTTAATTAATTAACTCGAGTATTATTAGTTAATAAGGGTTGACAATAAGAGAGAAAGAAACAATTTATTAATCATAGTATTTAATTGCAATTAAATTGATTGTTTTCTCATTTCAACATATTTTTAATTTCTCCCGCTAATGTTAAACTCTCAATCTAATCAACAACAACAACAACAACAATAACAATTACAAGTGAAAGTGTCATGATTAACCTTGACTGATTAGAATTGTTAATTTTTTATCCTTAAATTACCAACAATTATCTAATTGTAAAAGAGACACAACCAAACAAGTAAATACGTCAAAAGAAAATAAAATCAAAAATAAAACCAGTAATCATTATCTTCGCAATTAATAGTTAATTGTAGAAGATGGAAATATAATTTTCCCCTAAAAAGTTATGTTAATTTAGTCTCTCTAACAAACTAACAATTAACTGTGATTGATTGTAACAAAATAATCAATCAACAACAGAAAATTTTCTCATCAACTTTGATTGTAATCAAAATGAATCTCAACAATTATGTTCAATATTTGATCAACTTGATTGATCAAAATGACCATCTTTCTTGTAATTTTGATTCTATTGATTGTTCACCTTTCTCAACAATTTAATTGTTACATTTAAAAGGAAAGAAAGAGAAAAAGGTAAGAGAATTAAAATTAATTAAATTGCTAAAAGAAGAGAATCAACAAAATCAACTTAATTCAAGTTGTTTCCAACAATCAACCTGAGAAGTAAATTGTTGTTATTAACTTTCCTCCTCCCTGAATTGTGCTCATTTTCATGAGCTGTTGGATACCCGATAATGAACCAGCTACCAACATGTTCACCTACTTTTATTATCCATCTACTTGTAGTTAATTTAAATCACAATTTAGAATCGTCATCAACAATCAAGCTCAAACCATCACAAGCGATTGGAGCATTGATTCAACTGTAACCACTTTCGATCCTTTCTTGATTGTGTTCATTTTGTTTTCATTTTGTGTCAACAATTATCTTAATCATCTTAACAACAATCACAGTATTAATTAATTCCTCTTCCAATGGACTATTCCTGGTATCGACACGCAATCAAATTAAACTGTTAACAATCAAAAAGTAACACAAAAAAAAAGTTTCTTCACTTAGTGTAAATATTATTTTCTTATATTTTGACAACATTGGATTTTAATAACACGCAACAATTTAGTTGACGTTTTTTTAATTGTTCACAATCATGGATTCATGGAAAGAAGCTGCATCATTGATTATCATCGTTGACGATAAATCATCATCCTCATCATCATTATCTTCATCATCTCAGTCGTTTAGTATTCTGATGACCAAGAGAAGTGCAAAATCATCATTTCTTGCCTCTGCCTTTGTCTTTCCTGGTGGTCATCTTGAATCATCTGATTTCTCACCAAAATGGTGGACAGTCTTTAATCAAGCAGGCTTTAATCACTCTAAAGTTAATCTAGTTACCAATCGGATTAATGGATTACGATCACCAATAATCAGCGAGTGTCAAACTCAATCAGCTGCTCGGGAACAATTAACTTCATCAACAGAATCCAATCTACTACCAGCGGACATTGGTCTTCGTATTTGTGCCATTCGTGAGACTTTTGAGGAAACCGGAGTTCTAATTGCTTCAAATTCAACTGAATCAATTAATTTAGACAGTGAATTACTTGAGAAATGGAGACCTAAAGTTAGAGAATCGTCTGAAAATTTTATTCAATTTTGTTACGAGATGAAAATCGCTCCAAATATTTGGGATCTTTATGAATGGTGGAATTGGTTAACTCCAAACGCCTTAGGGCATCGTAGGTTTGATACAATGTTTTACATTTATTGTACTACAATTAGACCAAAAGCAAATTCTGACCAAAAAGAAGTTTCAGATATTGAGGTAAGTTAATTGTTACAATCATTTTAATTGCATACACGATTTACTTGAGAAATTGTGATCAATTGAAGAGAGTAATTAATTATTAATCTCTCTCTCTCTCTCATCTTCAGTGGTACACACCAAATGAACTTCTTGAATTACATATGCAAAAAAAGGCTTTTCTGGCTCCACCTCAGGTCTATGAGCTCTCTCGTCTGAGTAACTTCACTGATTATCAAGAACTCATGAAGTTTTCATCTGATCGTGAACCAAATGGAGTCGAACGTTGGATTCCCTTAATGAATGGATATCAAGACGGCTCGACTTTGTTTCTTCCTGGTAAGTAAATCAGTTGATTATTCTCATTAATTATTAATCTCTAACCATTATTCTTAATCTAATAAACTATTATAATCATCATATTCTTATCTAGGTGATGATATGTACGAAACAATCAAAACAAAATCAAATGACAATCAAAGTATCAGATCGATGCCAACCCTTGAACAAGCTCGAAGCTCTGTAACTAATTTGAATCGTATTGAATTTCGAGTTCCCATTTTTCAAGCTTTTTGTAATATTAAACTTAATTGTGGCCAAATTTCACCATTAACTTTTTCATCAAACATTTTAAAATCATCACTTTAACCACAATTTGCTGGGACAATTAACTTTCTGTCAAATAACCATTAACATTTATTACTACAAATCTATCATATCAAACTCAATACATTAAATAAGATTTCATATCCTTCACTTTTTAATCTTAAACTTAATTGTCCTGCACTCAAATAAATCAGAAAATCAAGGTTTAATCCAATTAAACAATTAACTTTTAAAATAACAATTAAAATCTTCATTCAACTCGCTGGCGCCATCTAGTGAAACTCATTTGAACTAAACGTTAATTGTCACAAAATTTTTTGAACAATTTTGCTAATTATTGATTATTTCAACCTAACTAATTAAATGGAATCATGTTTAAAGTATTTAAAAATTGTATTAACTTTATTTATTTAATAATTTGTACAAAAAATAGATTGATTTGATTTTTGGGTCTAATCAAATTTTTACAATCAAATAATATTTACAATTAAAATTACAATCAATTTCATAGGAAGTACAATGAACCAGATTAATAAGTTATATATATTTACAATTAACTAATTGTTTGATTACTTTTAAAAATTAAAGGGAAACAATTTGTGTACAATAAAAGTAATCATCAAGTTAATTGTTAGACAATTTAATTACTAATTGTAATGATAGAAAAGGTTAAAAGTGAGCAATAACATTGGACCATAAATTGATAATCTAAATGATTAACTAAATATTAGAAAGAGAAAAAAAGTTAAAGGGGAAAACAATTAAGATCTTAATGAGTGATTAACCATCAAGGCATTTGAATAGAAATTAATTAATCTAAATTGTTGTAATGTTGGGCGGATTTTAATTAAATGAATCGAAGGAAGAAAATTAAAAGTAAGGTGAAAATTAAGTTAACAATCAAGTGAAAAAATCCAAAGGAATCATGATTAGAATCACAATTAACAATGATGGGCCATTGATCATCAAGCAACCTAAATTAAAAGCGTAACCAAATGATTAGTGATTAAGATAAATTAAAGAAACCACAAAGGTTTAAATTGTTAAGAAATTAACCAAAGGATTGATGTTAATAGTTGACAATTTAGTTAATAGTATCAAGTGAAAATTTTTACAATCAACAATGATAATAAATTGTTTTCCATTAAAATTAACTGAGAACCTTCAACAATCAAATCCAACTAAATAATAGTAATGATTAACACATTAAGTTAATTTAGTTAAAACAAGGATTGACTTTTAAAGTACAATTAATGAGATGATCAAGTTAATTATGATTAACAGAAAGTAAATTGTCATTAAATCACCAACAAAAACAACAATCAGTTGAAAAGGTAAATAAGATTAATCTAAATGAAATAATTTGCTCTTTGACATGTAAATATTATCATCAATTAATTGCTGGTTCCATCAATTGACTTCAAATCATTTGCTTAATTGTGATAAATTATACCAACACAACACTAATCATCATCATCTTCAATCCCCTAATCATCTTAATCTTAACAATTTAAGTGATTTATTTCATGTAAAGAATCAAAATCCTATGGATTAATCATCTCATTTACCTTTTGTTTCAATGATCATGATTAACAAAAAAGATAACAATTAATAAATTGCTCTTACCTGATAAAACTGGATGTGATGCATATAATTGTGAACTATGTTTACCATCATTAGAGATGGTTAATTGTGATTTAACTCGTTTAATTATCTTAATATAAGTGGCCTTACATCGGACCCTTAAGAAACCATCAGAGGTCTAAGTGATTAACGATAATCAAGCAAAGAAAAGGGTAAATAATTAGTTGATTGTGTTCAATGATTTGTTAACTATTTCATATACACTAATTGTGATATGAAAAATTCACTCTGGAAATTAATTTTCTGGTTAATTAAAGTTACTTTCAGTTTATTTATCTGAATAGTCTCATCACTATAATCAAATTGTAATCAATTTAATGATGATGATTAGTTAAATTGATTCAATTGATTGAATGTTAAATCATGAAAAGTGTTGATTATATGAAGGAAATCATTGATATATTGATTTGTGGGGATAACAATCATGATAACAATCAGAATTTTCATCATTCTCATTGTTATCTGACTGAAAACCACACCCAAATGATGAATTCCAATCACTTTCAATGATTACAATCACCATGGTGTTAATGTTAATCATCATCAATGATTAAATTGTAACAATAAACAACAATCAATGAAATCCTAAAATATTACAACTAAAATCAACTCATGAAAATATTATAACAAACAATAACATCTTATTTTAATTAACTAATCATGATACTAATTAGATAACCAATTTGAGTGCAAAAGTTTCATCATGTCAATGACAATTTAGATTGATTAACAATTGATAAACTAAATGATTTAATTAAAAACTTTATCTCACTTGAGAATTGATTTGAACCACAAAAACTTTAATTAAAAGTTAATCGTTGCTTGAATAGTAATAATAATTTACTATTAATCCTCTTGAGGTTAAACATTTAACTTAAATTGAAAGTAAATTAACAAGAGAGAAGAAATTAAATTAACTAAATTAAATTAAATTCAGTTCTCACCTGATAGTGTTCCTTGGTAATTTTTAATTGTAATCCTAATTGTGATGATTTAGCTGAAGTGTCACCAAACAAATCAGCATAATTAGTTGATGAGGGATCATATCTGATGACAGGTTGATTGTGATTAAAGTAAACCAATTCCTCCCTTGAAGCCTGAAACAATCAACAATCAAAGGGTAACAATTAACGATTAAATTAGTATCCCATCTCCAAGGAAATTAATTGTTAAAATCAATCAACTTCAAAAGACAACAACAATCAGTTGACACAATCAGACTAATTGTAAATTAACAAAGAAATGTATTCATTTAGATTGTAATTGATGTAACATGATTAACAATTTATGATCTACTTTTCAATGAATTAATGATTAAGTGAAGACCTAAATTGTAGTTGATTATTACAATTATAATTATAATTATGATTATGTAGTGATGATGATGTTGGATTGTTATGATAAATGAGATGAGGTTAATTTAATTGCGACTAATCAAAATTCAAATCATGTCACCAAGAATCTTACAAAAGCCTTTACTTTAATTTACTCAACATCATTTAATTTTCATCTCTTCATCTTGTCATTAATTTAGACTAAAATTAGATTGTTGATTGTTGATTAGTTACTTTAGTTAACTTAGTTAATTTAGTTTCAAGTGATAATAATGATCAGAAATTAAATACTGAAAACAATTACAGAAAACATTCACTAATCATGGTTTTAATCACCATCAAATCAGCTGATTAACAATCAAACTACAATTAAAATGTTGTTATAATTTTGATAGAAGAAAAAAAAATTAGTTAATTGTATCAATACATATTTGGAAATGATCATTTATTAACTAATATTGACAATTACCATTAGAAACAGTTACCATCATTAACCTAATCAAATATATAATTATTAATGATTAGATTAAAGTAAATCAACAGTTAAGATGTGAACAATTTGAGTCTACAATCAAATTTAATTGTAATCGTACAGTCTATTGATTGGTAGACTTTATTTTCACCATTGCCAACCAATCAATCAACATTTAATCACAATTAGTGTCAAAACAAAACAAAAAATTAAGGTAACAGCAATCAAATTGATCACAGTTAATGAAAAATGATGTTAAATTGTTATTATTATTATGGTTATTATCAAATTGTGATTAAGAAAAGGGCTTAATCCAATTGTGACCCTCACCCCTTAAATTGTGATCGTTAATCAGTTGAGTTGAATTAAGGATAAATATCAAAATTATTATGATAAAACTAATTGTATCACTTAATTTATGTTTCGTATCAAATCACAATTACAATTAAATTGAACAGAGGAAAACAAATCTGTCTAAGCAGCACTAGCACTCTGTAGATATACAATTAAACCTTATTCCTTAACTGAATCAGTAAATTGTTATCAACAAGAAGATAAGATTGTAAATAAATCAACAACTTGTTGAGTCTTATGATTAGATTAATTTCTGCTTTGATCAATTCACTTTTCTTAGTGTCAATGTGATTTTCAATTTCCTTGAATTGTCCCAAGTTTCATCTCTTCATTCATCTCAACAATTAACTAGCAATTCAATTGATCAAATTGTTATAAAAATGGTGAAATTAGGTTTTGTGAAATATGATTCAACCAACAACGAAACAATTGTCAGTGTTAAAACGAGTGAATCGACACCGACTAAGGGTAAATCTTCATTTCCTTTCATAGCCTCAGGTAATTTGATCCGTGATTATGTCAAGAGGAAGCTATTCAAAGCCACCAAGGAAGAGATGTCTTCCCTCCTCAAGAGCACCAGTAATCTTAATCTAGCGAGTGTGTTTTCATCTAAATCTTCATCGGCTCAAAAAGAGGCGAAATCCAAAAAGTGTAAAAAAGATGAGCCTTCAACCTTGAGTGAAAAGGAACCGGAACAATTTGAGTCGGAAAATAAATGGAAACCAAATGCCGATGGTCAATATTATCAGCAAATCGATGAAGAGTCTATTAGACAGACAGAAAGCACTTTGCCCAGTGAAGGTCCAGCGATAATAAATATCGATTCAAGTACCGAGATTGATGAACCAGTGGTTGAGATTAAGACAACATCTTATCGTAGATTGTCACTAATCCAAATGTCCAAGAGAAAGAAAAAGAAAACCAGATTCGCTCAAGATTTAACCCAAAGTTTACCAGCAGCAACTTCGAGCTCATCATCAGTCCAACCACCGATCTCGATAGATCCCAAAAGTCAACTCAAAATAGTTACTTGGGCAAAGAAGATGAGGAAATGTAAAGTTAGCAAGAAAAATCTATCAGATGTAAAGGTTGAAACTGGAAAACCCGATGGTCCAAATGAAGAAGAGACGAAAGTTCCCGTTAAATGGACTAAAAAAGTTCGAAAATTCGCCATTCGGACCTGTCGATATCTCGGCTATGGAGCTCAAATGATTTCCCCAATGACACCTTATAACGATATTCCAATGCCGGTAACTTATGATGGCATTTATAACGTTTACCCTCCTTACTATGGGTCAGATCGTTATTACAGTTACTCGAGTTGCGGAAGTGTCTACGGTTATAAGATGGGCCATTATGGTCTAACTTATTAACTCATTTTAAAAGGAAAATTTCATGTAAATATCATCAAAATTTCATATTCATCTTAATCGGAGGTTTACTTTATCTCCAACATTCAACTTTTACTGTATCATGTTGTTATAATTACGCATCAATGTGATGCCTTCACTTTTACCACCGAGGGAAAACCTTGAGATGAATTTGTTCCCGAACAACAGTTTCAAGGAAAAAGTTCAATTTATCATGTTTACAATTAATTGGAATCATCTTAATGGCCATGATTTAGATATAATAATCAGACAATTACTTTCTCTTTTCCATTACAAAATAATATATATATAAATTCACATGAATGATCGTGTTTATATTCACAACTGACAAGGTCATTTCTATGTAAATCATTTGATGACTTTTCTCACTCTAATTATCGTCACAATTAATTTCGTTTTGGTGTAAATTTTAATTCTACTTTTAATCCATTGGAACCATTTAACTTTCCATCATGCAAATGAATCGACTTTACATCGTTTCGATTGAACAATCAACAGATTTAAAGGTAAAATATGATTTCAATTTTCCAAGTTTCGATTTCGATAAAATTGTAATTCTTTTTTTCTTCTTCATTTACAGAATGATTGATTTCGAATGTGAACATTTCCATGTCATTCATTTTCCACAGAGAATTCAAAATACTGATCAACCTTTTCATGGAATAATTTCTTGAAACTTGACTAATGATTTTCCAATGACGAAATTAATCACCTTCACCATTGGAATCTATTCAATCTTTTCATGAGAATATTTCATTACTAATCATGAAGAAAAAGTGGAACACCAAAGGAACAATTTCTCTGAATGACCATCGGTCATATTTGCTCAAGAATCGAACTCAACAAGTACAATATGAGGTCGAATTAACTAATCATCTTAATCATCATTATCGTTGTTTTTTCTTCATCGAATCCCCTTACCATTTATCTAAGTGTAATTTCAAGTGACGTGATCGAGATTGATGAGATTAAATGTCTTCAAGTGATTGACAATTTGATTCCAATTGATTTTCCATTAATTTCTATCTCATATCAACATTTTCCTTTCAAAAATTAACAATAATAATCACCTATGGTATTGATAGAAATTTTGAAATTCTTTCCAATAACATTTCTGATCAGTTTTCTAATTGTTATCAAATGTTCGTGGTTCTTAATAGTAATTTCATGACGATTCTGACGATGATTCACTCAGCATGAAGATCAGGATATTAAAAGTAATAAATAAAAAGTTATTTCAATTGGATACTTTTGATTACTATTGATAATAATAATAACTTATAATGATGATACCTGAAGATGATCCGGAAACGGAAATGAAAAAGACAAAGAGATGATATTATTTATGATAACTGAAGATAATCAAGATTAATTGTCAAAAATCAAAGGTGACCAAAGATAATAGTAGATATTAGATTATCATGAGTATTATGGATAATTAAATGCGATTTGATTTGAATTGATAAAAATCAAATTTATTCATCAACTTAATTGTCATTTTTGTTGAAACTCTAATGGATAAACTATTCAAATTATTGATCTAAAAGTAGATTGATTTCAAATTTAATGATTAAATTAAATCAATTTCCAATAATCAATTGAAACTCACTAATGTATTCAAATTATAAGAACAGGAAATTTACTTTAAAACTTTTAGTCCAACAAATATCCGGTTCAATTAACAAGTTAATTGTTTATATCAGCTAATTATTTGATGATACACACACACACATTTAAATTGTTGATTGATTGAAAAATGTAATTAGTCCATCAACTTGTAATATTTATGGTCATTAGATAAATTATAATCTAAACAATCCAGAGATTTAGTGTATTGTAGATCTGATTGGAGTTTGATCCAATCAAAATGATATCTGGCATCCCTAGTAAACCAAAGACAGGCCAACTTCACTTGGATTTTCTCGAACGGATATGGCATTTTATCTTCTAATTTTGAAATCAAATGAATTGACATCAACTGGCGAAGAGATATCATCAGAGTTAACCACGGAACAAAAGTCATAAGTCATAATTGCAAAAATAATGATCTTGAGATATTACTGTTCAATTGAATAACTGTTGAAAATCTTTTATGCAATAAATTTATCCTAACGTGCATTGCAAGGCTCATAGAAACCTCAAAACTTGTCAGTAGTGTCTCTGAATATTCTTCTTTATTGCATTACCTTCAGATGACCTTGAAACGTGTTATTTTACCGATGACCTGAATGACCTTGATCTTTTGATATGACAAACAAGTATCGCTCAAACTCATACCAATCAAGCCTCGTGTCTTTACGACTCTTAGTTGCTGAGAAAATCGCAAAAAACATCGGTAAAGCTAACTGAATTGCCCTGTATAAAATATGAAAATGATATTGAAACAATAATCGTGTAATTTTGTCCTTGTTGATTGATTTGTTGATTTAAACAATTAACTGATTGTTACACTTACCTCTTTATCATTGATATACCATTCAAGATAAGCTGGTGGGTAAAAGGGTTCGGTTGAACAATTAACTTGTAAAATGGTTCCAATTGAATAGATATGTGAGTAACCATTGATTGTTGGTGATCTCAGGAATTGTGATTCTTCATTTGAATCAATATAACTCTCAGAGGTAACAGGATAATCTGTGTCAAGTGAATGAAGATGATGATTATGATGATGATGATGCGATGATGAGGATGAGGAAGATGAGTAAGAATCATGTTCATCATTATCAGATGAAGAGGAAGAAGATGAACTTTTCTCTTCGATAATAAGTTCCTTGTAGGTTACACCGTTAATGGTTGTGAATAAAGCTTCACAACTGATAATCAGATCACCGGTTGATATTAAGGTCGACTTGAGGGGAAAGGTCAATGTAGAGGTTGAAAGTGAAAGTCCATCAAAATCTTGGCTTGTGTTTATTGATATGTGGAAATCAAGTGAAGGATAAACCTGGAGAAAGTAAAAGTTAACGTTAATCAGTTAGGACATTAAATATAATGGTGACAATTAAGTTAATCAACGTTAAATTACAACAATCATAAACAATCAAGACAAAAAACAAAACACCCGAAACTTAATCATCATCGACAATCAACAAAATCTTATAAATTTATTGATAGAAAACCAATCGTAACCAAATGATGGACAATTTAATCAGTTAGACAGTCAATTATTATTATTATCGGAAAGAAATGTAAGTTAACTATTGTAATTGTTACTTTTAATTGTAAACAATCAAAGTGACATTTCACCAGCAATTTACTCATTTCTCTTGTTTACTTTTGGGTTAATTTTATTTCAATTGTTGAGTTACATTGAATCATGATCAGGAATCAACTTTATTGTTATTGATTTATTGGTTGATTGATTAATTTTTCTTCTTGTTGTCTTTGACTATTGTTACTTTTTGATCAACAATCAACTTGGCGTAAAAAAATACAATTTAATTAACATCAGTTGAAGTAAGAAAACAGATTAACACTATTGTCCAGTTTTGTCTTTTTTTCCTCATCATATTTACCTGGATCTTTATTGATGGTCAAGAGATGATGATGATCATATTGAAAGAGAGAGAGAGAGAGAGAGAAGTTAAGGATGAGGATGCTAAAGTCTTTTTCCTATTGACTTTCACAAGAGACAAGGAAACAATATTTACAATGGTCATCTGAATATTCAATTAATATGGATAAAGATAATCAGTTTAATTCCAGAGGAAATGTGACTTTCACTATTGATTTCGTATGATAATCAAGGTGATTATTAATGAATCGAAAAGGTTTAATTGGTATTGATTGCGTGTAATTAACTGAAATAATTGTAATTAGGTCGTTAGGTTGACCTTTTCTGAGATTATATGAAAATAATATCGATAAACTTTTAGTTAAGTTTATTATCTGAGTTATGATATTATATTTCCTTCTTGTAGAGTACAATTAACTGTTTATAAGATGATTATAATCACGATTGTGATGATGATCACAATTATGATGATTTTTCAACTAGACCGGAACAGAATCACGAAGTTACTATGAATAACTACCGATAAAAATCACATGGAATTACAATTATCATGAGGAAAAGGTAAAAAAAGAAGAAGAAAAAAATTCCTATTGATAATATTTTTCACTCCCAGGTAATCATTTGCAAATCCATTGGATTTTAAATACTGTTCACAATTAGAAAGGTAAATCATTCAAGTTTGTTAATGGTGTAGAAAGTAATTTAGTTCATTTGTTAATTGTTGCTAAATAATCAAATCAAATCCAGCGTTAATCTTTAACCAGAGATTTAAATTGTTACCAATTTAAAATGAAATTTTTCTTCTTGCAACATTAAAATTCACTATTGAGATTATTAATTATTCATCGATTAATCAGCTGAATAATTTAATCATATCATTAAAATGAAGGAAATTAATCATTACCATGTAAAGAAATTTCCATGATACCATTTGAACAGCAACTCTTTTTTTACTGTTAACTGATTAATTTAAAATCTTCTGATTGTTTCTGTTGTTGGAGAAAGTTAATCAACAATTACTGTTGAACTTTTCTCACCGATAATCAAATTCAATCTACAATTAACTATTATCATGATCATCATTTTCATCTGGAAACCGAACAGCAATTCAAAGGTAATCTGTTTACTCCATTAATTGAATCCCTGTTTTTATGCAAATTGATTTGAATTGGTAATGAAAATTTAATCACAATTAACATTAATAGTTATTGAATTGGAGCGAGAAAGAAAAACAAATCAAACGAAACTTAAATGATTAAGAGCTGAATCAATAACAGTTAAGAAATTAGATTGAGATGTAAAAATTAATTCGAGCTGATTAATGTTAAGTAAAAACTTCAATTTCTAAATTGATTGATTGTTAAAAAATTTGGTTAATAACAATTAAGAGGAGAAACATTTTAACAGAAGCAATCAAATTAAATTTTTGCCACTGGTTTGTTGGTATAACAATTAAGTTTATTTAAATATCTGGAAATTGATGAGAAACATATTGAAATGATTAAGACAAATGCTAATGAAAAAATATCAACAATTAAGATACGAAAAGTTGATCGGCATCTTAATTGTGATATTGATATAAGTTGAATTGAACAAGTGATCAAAGTGATTATGTTTTTATTACAAAGTAAACAAAATGTATTACAAAAATGTATTAACGGTCAATTACTCGGCCCATTCATTGATCTGGATCAACATGGTCAATGAATGGTCAGTGTGATTGGTCAGAAAGTAAAAAAAGATTTACGATTCGTCGATTTTTTTTTCTTTTGTTTTTCTTAGAACAATTTTCCCAAAGGTAACATAAACATTATATTACAATGAGAATGGAAGTAAAATCTTTCATTCATCTCACTTCCTCTTCTTCCTCATCTTCCTTAACTTGCATCAACCTTATCTTCCTATCATCTTATCCTCTTCAGGTGATGGTGACTTTTGATTTGTAATGAGAATCAGAAACAGAAATCAAATCTAATTGTAACAATCTACTGCTAATTTTACCTGTGATATTAAATTTGTCCTGATTAAGATTAGATCATTATTACAATGGTTGAGAGCTCTTATTTACCTGCCCTCAGGTATTTCCATAGGTGTTGATTTAATTGTCTAATTTACGCTGATAATAAAAGAGTTAATTACAAGACAAGGTACAATTTAATCTGAAAATTAAGTCAATTTATTCAGTTAAACTGTCTCTTAGTCAAATTAATGATTAAAGTCTAATTTCATCACAAGGAAACAATTAGCCTGAGGCTTAAAACGAGTTAATCACTAATGAAATTAATGTAACCATTCATGTGTTGATTGTTAACAACAAGAGTAAATTAATTGACGAAGACAAAGTTTAAACTGATTGTGTTAAGGTAAAATTAAAAGTCTCTGATTGGTGACAAGACAATGACAATTGAAATTGAAACAATTTGTTGTAACAGAAAATGCGAAATCAATATTCAAACATATGATTAAATTGTTATCATAATTGTTATTAGATTAATTCTAATGAACAAGTTCACAGTTTGACAGAACCACGAAAATTGAACTTACCTGTTTATGATTAATTGACCATGATAATATCATGGGAGGTTTTGAAGGTCCACCAATACAGGTCAGAGTAACTGTATCTTCAATATTATATCTCTCCTCGATTCCATTAATTTTCAGTTCTGAGATTGGTGCAACTGTTCAGGAAAAAAATTCGAGAAAAAAAATTCGATGAGCCAAAAAAAACAGTTCCAATTTTTAGTACATTTATAATTCAAAATGAAGTGTAAATCTATTAACATTTCTGCTTGAGGCATTATCACCTTGGTAATTTGATCAAATGTTTGATAGTTGATCGAGTATCAATCAATCAACTTTCTACTAGTGGACAATGTCCACTTCAATTGAACTTAAACCATTAATATAATAACAATTGACCCACAATATTCAAATTGAACATTGAAACATCATCAAATTTCAACTCTCTCTTACTTTATGGTGGGTGGTAGATAATCAGTATATTATTTATCTTTTCCCATTCTCATGTATATCCATCATTATCATGGATTCATGGTGAATATCCTATTCTTATCCTGTGGTTCCCATCTCATCCTGATCAATTCTGAATTCATTTTATTTGATGACCATCATCATCATGACTCTTTCCTCAAGACTCATTATGAATTCTAACCATGAATATACATTCAGGGATATATAACTCTGAATTTTATATCACATATATGTCCAGTAGTGTATTTGTTTGACCACTATCAGCAACAATTTTTGCATTCTTGGTCAGCAGTAACAGTAAAAACTTGATCAATTTGATTCAATCCCTTTAATTTGATTAACAGTAAAATGATAATATTTATCTTGCTCACTCACAGAATCAGAATCAAAATAGACAAAAAATTTTCATGGTGAAAAACAAAATTTCATGTTACCATTTAAAATGCTTATTCGTGCTGATAGTGGTCAGAATTTTTAATCCAAGAGAAACAAATAATTTCCCCAATTGAACAATCAACTAACTATGGAACCTTTGATCAATGGCCAACAGCAATTGGAGCAATTTTTTTTGTTATCACCAATTGAATGTGTATCATTATTATCATGATGATGATCTAAACTTGATTAATTAATATAATCGTACTCTGGATTAATGTGCTATCTACCTTGAATAATTATCAATCGATCAACTATAATTATTATTATCATTTAGGTTTATAAATATATTTGAGTTCAATTGATTGTTACAATTAATGATCATCAACAATTAAACTTATTATTATTGTCTAAGTTTAGTGGTTTATCATAATTAACATGGACTGATAAGTTTAACTGTTCAATAAAATTGTGATTACTAAATTCATTGGACACAGTTACTAGGTTAATTAATGGTAATTCTTGATTGTCCTGTTTCTGTTGCTCAGTTTGATTTGTATGTTAGATGACAAATCATTATACATGGCTACTCAACTTCAATCTAGTCATGAACCATTGACCCTACAAAGATCAAATCTCGTATAGATATCATATACATTTCAGATTTGATGAATTTCGCAAAAAAAGTTTCAAGGTCATTAAAGGGATTTCTCAAAAGCTTATTTAGAGGTCATTTGAAGGTAACTTCCATATTTTAATATCAAGGTCATTCCATTCATTATCTTAGGTTGCAGTTTAGATAATAAAGTTGTATTGGCTTGAATATTCTACTGTATCCAAACGTTATGGTAGAATGACACTAGACAACTCATCGACTACTCTTTTATATCTAATTGATGGGGTGAGCAAATGGCTTACCGTCTTGACAGAGATTGAGAACCAATTAAATTGATTATGATTTAAATTCAGTGTCGTAATTGTTTAATCTCAGTAACAAAATGTAGTCAAAGAAGCGATTGGCTATTAGTCTTATTGTAATGATAGTTAGCACCTTAACTTTTTTCATACATCAATCATCTATTAGCCATTTATCAATAAAATTAACTCTTTAGCTAAAATTATGCTTAGCTTTCTTCATCGCGTTGCCGAAATTATAACCAGTACTTCATGGACGATAATCAATTTTCATATTTTAAAATCAAGGTCATTTGATGTTCAAAATCAAGGTTACGAGCAAAGACGAGGCTTCTAACGAGGTACCAAGTTCGGGCCATATTTAGTTGCAGAGATGCTTTTTTCTTTGCTGAGTCAAGAAATTCAGGGCACTCAGATGAATTGGAATGACAAATTATGTAAAATTTAAAGTATCTGATGAAAATTAGCGGTAAACAACCAATTAACTATCTTCTACACTAAATGATATTTTAATTTATATTTAAAAGTTGTAAGATTTAATCATCAATAACCAAATATTGATTACTGTTTAATCAATAAATGCTGCAAGGCAATTTCAAAAGGATCAAATGAAGCAAATGAAGCAAAGTTTTCAAATTAGATTGGCAAACACAAATTGTTAACCGCAATCCAATAAATCATTTGAATGTCATCACCATCATTGGATCATTGATCAATATTAATCAATAGTTAAATTATTTACCTCTAGGGCAACTAAATTAACCAATTTGATTGATCTGATCAACCAAATATCAGCTTTTGATGAAAAAAAAAAATTAACCCCAACCAGCCAAATTCAAGTCTATTGATTAATCCAATGAAACAACAATTTGATTTAATTAGAAACAAAAAAATTTACTCTTTTCGAAACAATTTAAATGGTAAAGTTAATATTAGATTGTAACTAATTGTTTTCATGACAATTGGTGAAGATCATCAAGTCATAAGTAAATTATTATTGATTAGATTAACAAACAAATATACTCAATTTGTATTCTCATTGTATTATCATTACAGTAAAATAAACAAATTGTTACAAAATGATTAGTAGAAAAAATCAACATGATTAAAAAAAACACGAAAAAAATTCAAGTGGAAATAAAAAATTTGCCAGGTAATGAATTTGAATAAATACTTGGAACTTTTTCCTTCTCGATAATGTAATGATGGTTCGAGGTTCTATTATCATCATCATGTCGAAACTGATGAGAATCAATCGATTTAGATGGGAAATTAAAAGTTCTTTGAGTTTAATCTGAATGAGAGATTTTTTTTCTTCTCTCACTTCTTTCTGATTATTTCTTCGTTTCTTTCCAGGGTAATGATAGTGAATTGATCGTGAAGGTCAGATTGATGATTGGTCACAATTAATCAATTAAACAGTGTGAAAGAGTGAAGGCAATACAATAGGTTAACCTGAACCTCCTCCTCCTCCCATGAATCCACCTCATTCTGTGAGAGGGAATTTGAAATGAATGAATCAGGGTAATATTTATCTCTGTTTATCTTGAAATTGCCCTTCAGTCAATACATATAAGGTTAACCATTTGGATCGATCATGAATTCAATGGAATCAGAATTTGTTTTTATATTAGTTTGTTGTTGGTGTTGGTCAGAGATTCAGGGAATCAGAATAAGAACTGAAATCGAAAGTATCTATTCCAGAGGAAGAATAAGAAAAAGTTTTTTCTCTCCCAACCTAGAAACTTTCTCTTCTCTCTCTCTCTCTCTCATACCCCACCCAATGCCGGTCAATTCACAGACAAACAAGAGTAACAAAACTATTCCCATGTAATAGAGCATCGAAACTCCCACTTCTACACCTCACCCACCTTTCAACTTTACAATTTTCTTCCCTCCCTGATAATATATCTATCAAGTTGTAAGACAGATGATATTTAATCCGATTAGCTAATCTGGTCTGTTTAAAATGCTCTAAATTCATATTCATCCCTATGAAACGTAAGATAGTTAATCTATTTCAAATTCAATTCAACCTACTCAGGTAAATCGAACCGTGAAATGGTTTTTATACTAATAAAATTGAATCGAATAGTTTTTCTTTCATAATCGAGCAAAGAAAATAAAATGAAAAGAGGGAAAAAAACTGATCCCCATTCAACTGAACAATTCTGTGACATAATTCTGATGATACTCATCATCATGTATCAATCAGATGATGTTGATAATCAACATTTTGACAAGTTGACCAAAAGTTGTATCTCTTAATCAATGATTAAATTAACATGTCCAATGCAGACTTTAAGGGTAAACAATTTATCTGAAACTTGATTTGCTTTTCATGGGAATATAATTCATTATAAAACTGGAGGAAACTCGAGGCTCAGAAAGCTCATCGATTAACAAACTGCATAAGAACTTAATTAGTTATCATTATTATTTTAGACGCGGGAAAAAATCACTCCCAATACTTCAACTAATAACTCCCTTGACTTGATTGTTCCGATCATTAAATCAACTTTGCAATTATATTCCAATGTTAATATTGTTTTCTAAGTATAATATTGATACGTAAACAATACAATAGAGTTAATAATCAAGGATAAAATTCCCGAGGGAAATATTTTCCTAGGAAAATGATACTTTCAATGTAGAGGTAATTATAACATTTTATCATTTTCAACGATCACAATTTGTTCATTGATTTCATATTGTTGATGATTCTGCATTCATAAGTCGTAGTATTCATTAAGTTTAGTATTCAAATGATAATAGATTAACGCTAATCTGATAAGGATTGGATAATCTCTGTGAGAATGATGTAGCTCACCATAAATCCTAAGATCTTTTTCCGCTTTAACGGTTCGGAAAACTGGAGCTTCCGTTGAAACCTCACAACCAAATGTCCCCTCGGTGTTTAAATCAGTCCAATCAAGGTGAACATGAGTGGCATTTGACCTTAACAACTACAGAGAAAGAGAGAGAGAGAGAAAATCAAGAGAAGATAATTAATAATCAATGTTTTTATATCCATGGACAAATATGGTTGATAATCTAAATTGTTGTTATTCTTAATTGAAAACAGTGATAATCAAACAATCAGCTAATGATGATAATCATAAACGATGGAGACAAAGTTTTTGCCATGAAAATTGTGAATCTTATTCATGTTACCAATTTTGTTTACCATGGTAAATGGTTCAGAGATACGTTTCCCTTTCTCATGAAGAGGATGAGGATGGAGAAGATGATGATGATGATAATGATGAAGATAAAAAGACAAGACAATGATGCTATTGACATTGACATGTACTGGAAGATAATATAAGGATGATGATGATGATGATGAAAAAAAAGGATTGATGAGGATGTGATAAGATCGGTGAGATAAGATATTCCTGATTAGATAGAGAACACGTAAGACAAATAAAAGATGATGAGGAAAGATGATAACAGGAAGGATAAAAGATGAGTAAACATTATTTTCTTAAGGTGACACAACGGCTGTTTCACCAATCATGCTAGAAGATGAGGACAATATGTTATCTTCATAATAATAATAATAATCATCATCATCATCATAATCATCCTTATAGTGAAAAATAGTGTCAATGAAAAAGCATATAAAGTATTAATATAATATTATCTGTATCTTGTTTACCGTTATTATTATATCAATATGTATTAAAGTTGAGTTTTTCTCTTAACAAATCTGGCTGATTGTTTCCATAGATTAAAATAATTAGCTGATTTACTCACATCTATGTTGATTCCTCGTTGATAATAAGTTTTATGTTCAACCTCCGAATGAGAGTTCAAAGGTAAATATCCATAAAACTCCTCGTAGTTTTTGTACCATTTGACTGAATACAAGGAATCACCTTCTAAATCGTAGTCACAATGAAGCCAAACTGATGAGCCATTTGAAACTGCACCGGGAACACCAAATCTACGTAATTTAATTGCGACAATTAAATCTGTTCAAACAGAAAGAGTAACAATCAATCACTTTGTTAATTTAAAACGTTCAATTGGATTAGCAGAGTGAAAAAAAATGACAACCAACTTATTTCAATGTATTGATTGAGATTCTGATTTTTTTTTCTTCCTCTCAGCTTCTTGATAATTAATTAATTGTCAACAGTTTATCATTATCATCTTTAACTTGATGTGATTAAAATAACGCTTCTTGATTATCAGCTGATGATTAACATTTACTTTTAGGTTAATTAAATGTCAGTTTCTTATTTTTTTTTCCTCTTGCCTTCCTGATTAATTCAATGAATTAATTGTTTTATCATTTTGAAATTTAACAAAATTAAATTGTCTTCATTTGGTTTTGGATAAGATTTAGTAGTTGCGTTAATTGTTTATATGATAAGTCACAATTTAACTGAATTAGTGAATAGTTTTGGTTAATTGTTGCTATTGACAATTTTGTCTGATGATTGGGTGAATGGAAATTGTGAAAATGATTAACATGATTAACATGATGTTGATCATGATGAAAATAACAATTAACCAGGAAAAATTATATCAACCAGAATCTGTGACAATTAAATACCAAAGTCAATGTGAAAAAATTGATTATAATCACGCAATCATCAATTATTACCTAATAACAATATAATTAGTATTCACAAAGTAAAATCAATCTCATTAAAATTGGAACCTTAAACAATAATCAACCCAAAATTAAGCCTATTTTTTAATTACTTTGCTTAATCATTAACAATTACAATTGATTAAGTGTGAAATTTAGTTTGAAAAGAAAGCAAGAAACTAATTGTTAATCATCAGTAAATCATACGAATCAAATCAATAACCTTTTTTTGTATTTTGATAATAATAAATTTTTTTCTTCTCCTATCAACTAATGATAATAGTGATTAAGTTAATTGTGAAAAGTTGATAATGTTAAGAATTAGATAAATAATGATAATAACAATAACCCAGGTAATAGTTAATTGTTTGATAAAAATTTACCACACACCCAGAGTTTTAACAATGAACCAAGATGATTAAGATGATGATGATAATAATAATGATAACAGAATCGATTGTAACAATCAATTGATTGTTACACATTAAGGATTAATAACAATAAACCATTGGACCAGTTAAATACTATTGCAACAATCAAAAGTGTGTCATACCTTTTGAATGGACAAACAGACAATTAAGAAAAATACTATTTTTCGATAACAACAATTAACAACTGAATCAAGTTTTTCCTTTCACTCTCCAACAATCAATCCCAAAGAAAGTAAATTAAATTAACTACTATGATTAAAGGAATAAGAAAAAAAAACCAAGAAGTGTAACTTATTAGGTGAGAGAAACTGTAGTTTAGAATTAGTTAATTAAAGTTAATTACCTCGAGACTGGAAAGCAAAAGACATTGCATGTTGATAATGATACATAATCACAATGATTTAGTTGATTGTTGTCTTAATTGTGATGAAATCAGCACAATTTCAAGTATATAAAAGTTTTTTTCATTTTTCTTTTTGCTGAATCGCTATTATATTGATGAACCTGATTCACTTTGAAAACCTTTTACTTTTCACCCTGAAAATTATTATTATTCAGGAATCAGCATGATGATAATCATGATAATACTTGATTGTTATCAAATTATCATCATCATCATCATCATCATATGCGTGTTAACAATATGCTAACTATTAACAATTATAATGTTAACATGATACAATCATTTTCAAAGTCTGAATATTAATAATTGATTGAAATTACCAATGGAAAACTTAATTTACACATATAACAACAATTAAGCAAACAGTAATCAAGCTGATTGTTATTAATACACCAAAGTAATCAGTTAATCAGGTGAATCTACAATTTAGAAAAATTTTCACACTCAACAAATCAACAGTAAGAATGAGTAAATTGTTTCATTAATCAAACTAATGTCAACTTTTTGTTTCTACAAATTTATTTAAATAATTTAGTTAATTGTTACGATTTAATAATTACATAGTTAGTTAATTTAATAACATGTTGATGATGATAAACAAGAAAAAAAATAAATTGTTCAAACAGTGTTAAGGTTGAATTAATATATTGTCATAATATATTTTCATGGATTGATGAACAATTTAATAAACTAACTAACCTAATTTGATTAACATTGTCTTATATAATTAACTGATTAACTAGTTGATAATAATATTAGATTATTAGTAGAAGTTAATTTTCAATTGTTTCCCCGTTAGTTATTAGTTTAATTGTAACTTTTTCTCAATCATTTCAGATAAATGGGTTTCTAATCAACATTAAATTGTAAACTTGATTGTGATTGATTAAAGGTTACATTAAATGTTCAACAATCAATAACAATTTACAACAATTTACCTTTTAAAAGGTTTCAATGGATTCCAATACCTTTGATTGTTACATTGATTTAACTTATAAACAGAAACAACAATCAATGTCTATCATTATGATTATTTATTAATCACTTTGATTTAACCATTGGCAACATTTTTATATATCAAAGGTTCAGTTGATTATCATCATCATCAGTTAATTGTCATTGATTATGTTTCCATCATTATTTACCATTAATCATGTTTAATTATTGATACGACATGGAAATTAACTCAATCTATTTAGTAAGTTGATTTAAATTGTTGGCAAAATTTTTTCCTTCAACTGAGCAAAAAAAGTTAACTTCAATTTAGTAAATTAAATATATTATCAATTAGATTATTAAATTGTGATCATCATGATTAAGTAACAAGGTAAAAGTTTTTTTTAAAAAAAAACTAAATTAAGCTAATGGATTTGGTATTGTTTAAGAATTAAATTTAATCATCATCATCATCATGTTGATTAACTTAAATTGCCAAACAATTTAACATTCAAATGAATGTAAATTGAAAAATGGTCAAGAAAAATTTGCTTGACCAACACACGTTTAAATCATAAAAAAAAGCACAAGAAATTGAGTCAATTACAATTAATAATTAATTTGGTAATAAATTCAATTTGTAAATTGAAATTTCCAGGGAAACAATTACTACATTTAAATTGATTGTGATCATGAATTAAAATGATCAAGTTAATCAGTTAGAAATTGAAAGTTATGAGAAATGTTGATTAGATGAATGTAATCATTGAAATATTACATTATTTACAATTGAAAGTTAATCAATTGGTAAATTAGTTAATCATGATTATGATTTAAAGGAAGAAGAAAAAGTTTTTTCAATCTCTCAATCAAAAGAAACCATGAAAATGAATTGAATTGAAATTAGATTGAAATGTAAATTGAATTGGTAGAAACGTTTACTTGTTGGATGTTGGAGAGGAAAAGTTGATTGAAAGTTATTTTAATAACTGAATTAAATTGTTAGTTAAATTGGATAATGATGATAATGTTAATAGTTGCATGATGATTATGGTGATGATGAAAATAGTCAATTGAATGGAGCGATAATATCAGGGGCGTGATTACAGTGATTTAATATTTTCCATCATGATTATGATGATGGAGGTTGATGATAATCATGATTAAATCAATTCTCTGGGAGTCACAATTGGGAGTGTGATCAGAGGTTCGATAATAATTGTGGACACCATTTACCTTGATTGTTGTTCCTTAATCATTGTCATGATTAATATGATTATCATCATGTTTGTTGTTTTCTCATTGATAATCAACATTATTAAAGTTCAACACGAAATTGTTGACATTTAGAGTTTCCATGAAAAATTGATTACCATGTTTTAGTAAACAATTTGTTGATTGTTACAGTTTCATTTTTGTCTTATTTATCTTTCAAAATAAGTGAATTCAATGTTGATCAGTTAATTAGATTTAACAATTATCATGTTTCAATTAGTTGGAATTGCCTGTATATATGAATAGTTAGTTGAAAAGTTTTCTTGTTTGTGTTGAAAGTTAATTGTTAAACTAAATAGTGACCAATCAAGTGACAATTTATTTTGTTATTATTAGTTGATTAGAAGTAGATTTCTAATTGTCAGCTTAGGATTAGGTGAAAGTTAAGAAGAGATGAAAATCTGTTAAATAAGATAAGATTATAAAAAGGCTTGAGGATATCAAAGATTAAGAGGATTAAAAGATGATCAGGTTTTATCACAATTTAACAAATTGCAAAGTCACCAAGAAATTACAACAAATGATCAAGAGAGAGAGAGAGAGAGAGAGGGATGAAGGGAGAGAGAGAATCAATCAAGCCTCATATAATTTACTCTCGAATCTCGAAGTCTCATTCACTGATGAACTTGACGTAAAATCAGTCTACTGGTCCTTTACTCTTACGAGTGTAGATCGACACGATTCCATGTAATTGGGATTCAGTGAGCTCATGGTAATTCATTATATCACATAAACTTATTAAGTTTTCAAAGATACTACAAGGTTGAAAACCTTATCCCTGAATGAATATGAATATCTATGTATTATACTTACACAATTAACGAGATACACGAAAAAAATCAACAATTAGATTAACATCCAGTCTGATTAGGTTGATCAAGGTTAGTATCTATCAGTCAATATAAACAATCAATATATATTATGATGATGGATAAAAATATTAGCAGTTAGCTATTTATACGATAATTATTTAACGGTTAGTGTTAATAATCATCATATTTATATATTATTATGTATGGTCGATTGTAGTGGATTTATCTCTACCTGTGGGTGATTATTGCTTTGAAAATTTATATATTTACATCCCTGCTGATTGGTTTGTTGATTGGTTGATTACATTTACCTGGTGTGTTTGGAAATCGCAATTTAACCTCCAGGTAATAATATAATAGTGTGAAAGGAATTGGGTTAGATTATTTGGTTTTGACATGTTATTTCAAAATATTGCCTATTTTTGCATGAGAAAAAGGTGAAAATTTGTTAAAGTAAAGATGACGATGATAATCATGTTGGGAGGAAGAGAGAGATGTTATTTTAGATATTCAATTCCTTTAAGGTGAATATTCAGATGGAATAATCCATTTCAATTGTAGATACGAATGTTGTTGTTGTAGTAGGCTAGATGTTGATAATAATGAAGATGAAGATAAAGTTTACTTTCAAGTAAAACGAACAGATGAATTAAAAGAGATGAAGATGAAAATTTACATGGTCCCATTGATGAATATACACAAGAACCAACAAAGAATCCAAAAGTAGAGTAATAAGTTAATGAGAATGATGATTGACTAATGTTATTGTTGTGGAATTTTCTCTTGAAAGTTTTCCTATGATATTATCGAGAAGGCATTTAATCAAATGAGTACCACACCTTTAAGTATATTTCCATCCACATGACTCAGTACAATTTAGATTTCGTAGCTTGGGGGCAAAAAAAACGCAATACCAATTGAAGAAAAGTAAACATTGAGCACACACTGTTTCCATTTTTTTACTTACCATGGGTTACAAATCCATGATATGATTAACACACACAAGTTAAACAATATTTACAATAATCATCATTTTAACAATGTTATTCTTGTATAATTTAACATTGATAAACCACAAAAGAAATGATAATAACAGGTAAGAAGAAGAAGAGGAAAACAATAAGAATCCAAAATGGCGACCATGGCAACAGAATCAAAGAGATCACAAGTCGGTTACTCTTTGAACAGAATTCACAATAACAAAATTAAGAAAACAGAGTTTTCTAAATTGTGATCGTCCATTTTGTAATCTCCAAAAAAGTGAACAGTTAATTGTAACAATCAAGAAACTAATTCATCTTGTTAATCACACAAATTCTAATCAAATGTAATCTGATTTACCAAAAAAGGGTTAACAATTTAGATCGACCAACAGGAAAGGTTAATTTTTCTAATACACATAACATTTAATTTAATTTCCACAAATGTAAAAGTCACTTAAAGATGAGAGAGAAACGGTGATGAAGATGAAAAGAAAGAGAAAATGATGATGATGATGATGAGAAAGAGTTTAGATTTACCTCTTTTTTAACGGAAGAAAAAAATTCCACAGACTTTAAGAAGCCATTGAAAGAGAAACTGATGATTGTGTTGATAATTTTTCTCTTTTTCAATTTTGTTCTATTCTTTTTAAGCAAAAAAAAATTCTATTCTTTTTTGTCTCTATTCTAGTTTATGGAAAATAAAGTCAACAGTTTTTTCCCTTTTCAATTGTGATTAGTTTTTCATGTTTTCTTTTTAAAAATTGTTTTAATTATTCAACAGAAACAGTTTCATATAAATTCATTGAATTGTGAACGTGATTCCTTTCTGATTATCAACTTTATCATCTTCACCTTATTAAATAAACATAATGAGTGAGAGAGAGAGATCTGAATCTAAAAAAGGTAAGTTGTTGTTAATCATCATCATGATAATCATTGTGACTAATGTAATGATCATAATTTATAAACATTGATATATATTTTATTACATTAGTCTTATACTTATAATCCTTAATTAGATTATAACCTTTAACCATAATCATCATGTTACCATGAAGAGAAAGTGTATTTTTTTTGTGAGCTGAATTTACTATAAACAAATTGAGATTCTGTGTTAATTTCGTTGTCGTTTTTTTCATACTCTAATCATCATAATTAGTTAATCTAAATTTATATTAACTGTTAATATATAACAATGAATATATATGGAGATTAGTTTGTGTATCTACAAAAGCAATGGAGGTTCACTTTTTGACCATTTTGATGGCGAAAAAAATTCTGATCATCAGAAATGATTAAACATTGAAAACCAACATTTACTTATCTAATTATCTGATAATAGAGACTTACCTGTGTGTAATAGTGTTGAGTATATTATGAAGGAGATTAATTTGCCCACAAATTGTCTTATGTTTAATCCCATTTTCACTTTTAGTTGGAAAGATTAACAAAGATCAGATTTCTCTTCCTATGGATGAGATTTGATTACAATTTAAATTGTTCAATAGTTTCTGATTGTTTCACCAAAAAAAAAATACAAACAAACAAACTTTTATCACTGTTGAACTAAAAAATGAAACTTTTCTTGTTTCACTCAGTCCAATTGATCAGTTGATTAACTGTTAATTGTCGTTGATATTGTATCATCTGAGGTTAATGTTGTTTACACTTATGGGACAATTAATTAACTCTTGATGAGCACTAAAAGTTATGTAAAGTTTGATAATTTAAAAGGCAATCGAGAGTAACTGAGAAAGTGAAAGTAGATTCTTCAATGTTGTGGTAACTATAAAGGGAATTCATGTTGGAATATTATCTTCTTTATCTTCATGATATTTTTTTTCTATATTATTTTATCTCTATGGAAGAATTGACGCCATCTATGGATTTTAATTGTTCATCTTTAATTGTGTTTTAATCATTGATCAGTTTTACATGAGAAAATGGTCATTCATTTTGTTTGAATGGACGAGTCAAAAATTTTAGGATTCATTTATTGAGATATTATCTGAAATCAATTCACACATCAAAATTAAATTTATCAGAATTTACATTAATTATCTGATGTTTTTTTGTTTTGTTTTTGTTTCGTCGAGACATTTAAGATGAATAGCGTTTAGTGCGGTTTTTTGTTTTTGTTTTTGTTTTCACATTACACATGCAATTTGTAAACAATTATATTTAAAGTATGATAATGATAATGATAAGATATTTCCAAAAATGGTAACAGAAATAGTCGGTTAGTCGCCATTTATTTTTGTTGGATCAATGGGAAGGATTAGATTTTCTTTTGTCTAAATTTAATCTATTGAGGCTGAGGTGGACCATAACCTGGATAACCTTGTGAAGATTGATCATAACCTGGATAAGCTCCCATGGGTGCAGGACCACGAGCCGAAAAGTGACCATAACCAGCTTGCTGATGATACCCTGGACGAGTTTGTGCTCCGGGTGCTTGAGGTGATGCGGAAGGAGCTGGTGAAACATAACCTCCACTTGCTGGTGAGGACGGACCGGGATTTGGTGAACCATAGTTGGCCCCATATCCTGGTTGGGAATATTGTGAACCTTGATTATAAGCACCATATCCAGGGTAGCTTTGTTGAGGACCGGCTGCAGGAGGTTGACCAGCACCAGGTCCAGCGGTACCTGGATGAACTGGATTGGCTGCAGAGTAACCAGGAGTTTGTTGTGAGCCAGTCGGTGGATACCAGTTTGTGGGACCTGAACCTTGAGCTGGACTGGGAGGTGGCTGAGGAGGAGCATTGGTGTAACCTGGCTGAGGATAATTGGGATAAGATCCATATTGTTGAGAGGGCGGTGGAGTTGGGTAAGGGGAATTTGGTGCCTGAGCTGGTCCTTGTGGAGATGCTGGAGGTCCTTGGTTGTAATTTCCATAACCAGAATAGCCTGATGTTGGAGGATATTGTCCCTGGTTGTATTGTTGTTGATTTGAAGGCATTTGATAGTTACCATAAGAATTAGGAGGTTGAGGAGTAGATGCCGGTGGTCTAGGAGGTGGCATCATGTTTCCATACTGATGAGGTGGAACATTTGGTCCAGCACTGGATGAAGGTGGAGATGTAGTTGGTTGAGGTGGACCAGTATTTGGATTAGGAATGGCTGGTTGACCAGTTGCTGAACTTGTTGGAGGTCCTTGCGAATGAGGTGCTGGTGGAGGAGGTGGTGGCATACACTCTGCAATATAAATTGTAAGTTGAGATTAGGAGAATGTTTTAATTACCAGAACAAAATGTAAAAAGAATAGGATATTTTGCAAAGAAAATAAATACACACCAGAAGGTTGAGGTGGCATGTTTTCATGTTTTATTGGTTGATTTTGTCCAAATGATTGTGGAGCTGGAATGATTGCTTGTAAATTTGGATTAGGATCAGCCAATGAAGCCAAATAGGTTAAATTACGATGAAGAATATTTTGAAAGTGTATACTTTCAGACGATTTTCCTTTACTTTGAGCATCCACAATGGCCTGGATAAGTTGACAGTTTTCATCAAGCATCTACAAATACAAATCGAAATGGAAAAACAACAAGTTCAATCAATTAGAACAAAATAAACATCAATAGGGTAAAAAGAAAATAACAAAATAATCGAAAAAAAAGATTCAATTTTGTTCTCACATATTAGGAAAAACAAAAGATTCTAAAATAAAAAAGAGACACATTAAATGCTAAATGAATTAAGAGTAAAATAACTAATGTAAATTTTACATGCAACTTAAAGATTGAAAAACGGGGATCAATTATTAATCCATTGAAAGACAATTAAGAATAACAATTAAAAGTTTACCTTAAGAATTTGCGATTGATTTGTAGGGCCACGGGCACGTTGATTGGGTAAGAAAGCAACCGACATCTTGCCTTAACCAGGTAACCAGCGACCGATCAGAAGAAGGGAAAAAAAGGTTAATTGTTATGATGAATGTTAAATAAAATAACGAATTTAAAATAAATAATCTCAATCCTATAGGATGAACAAAAAGTGATTAATTAATTAGTACTTTTTAAGAAAAAATAAACAATCAGATAAAAGTGAACAGACAAAAACAATTGAGAGATTAGAAAACCAGAACAATGTCACAGCTTAGAATTCATCAGATGCTATTTGTCACACTCTTCGAACCAATGGTGAAAAATATTCTCCAAGTGTTAACCTTATAAGAGATTGAAACTGTTTCCATGGCAACCGAATTAAGAGTTTCTATTGGTTAGATTAATGTGACATTTAGATTATGTTTTTGTTTGGTTAACAAAATTGTCTCGCTTTTGGTTTATTCATCTTTCATCATTTTCTTGCCATTTTATTTAATTGTAAATACGTTTAATTAAATCTAATTAATTCTATTCTAATTCTAAATTATGTCTTCTGTTAATAACTGTGATCAATGGAAGAGTAATGGTAAGAGATTTCGTTTTTTTGGTTCTATTTTCTGTTTGATTTTCCATTTGTCCAAATTATTTTTTTTTTGTTCTTTTTTTGAAATTTACCAATTTGATCTTAATTGTTTTCTGTTAATCTCTGTTTTTCTTGTGGTTTTTCTGTTCTTACTCATTTATTGGTTTTTAGTTGATTCGTTGAGATTTTGTCAAGCCGATTTTCCTCTTTTTCATAATTCGTATGGTTTCCCGACTAAAACAAGTATTGAGGAGGAGAAGGTACAAATTAAAATATTGAAAAGTTATCGACTAGCGAGATCTAAATATGCTGCGAAAATTGATTCTCTTGAACTCAATCGATCTTTACACTTAAGATGGCTTATTGAAGGTCTCTTTAATCCTGATGTTGGCTATCAATCTTTAGATGCTGCCCAACCCTGGATGGTTTATTGGATTGTACATTCGATCTCATTGTTAGGCGATGAATCATTATTAGATGAATCTCGCAATGATATAGTTACCTTTCTAAATAGATGTTGCCGACTTGATGGAGGATACGGAGGTGGACCAGATCAAATTCCTCATTTAGCAACAACTTACGGAGCAATAAGCGCTTTACTAACTCTATCTCATGAAGATGCTTTGGCTTCTATTGATAGATTAGCTTTGTATAAATATCTGATGAAAATGCGTCAACCCGATGGATCATTTGTCATGCATGAAGATGGTGAAAGTGATGTCAGGGGAATTTATTGTGCTGCTGCTGTAGCTTACATGACGGGTATTAATACTAATGAACTTTTTGAAGGTTCAGCAGAATGGCTGTTAAAATGTCAAACATATGAAGGTGGATTCGGTGCCATGCCAGATGAGGAAGCCCATGGGGGTTACTCTTTTTGTGCTCTTGCAGCTTTAACCCTTTTCGGTCAAGCTCATAGATGTGACCTTAAATCTTTACTAAGATGGACTGTGATGAAACAGAAACCGATTGAAGGTGGATTCTGTGGTCGAACCAATAAATTAGTCGATGGTTGTTACTCTTTCTGGCAAGCGGGAGCAATTGCAATCATTGAATCACATTTATCGAAACAAAGTATAAATTATTCCAAAATTTCGAGAACCATTTAAATTTGCTAATTAATAAATTCTCTCTTCTTTATATTTTCCTATTTAGATCCTCATCTATTAAATTTTAGAAAATGGACTTTTAATCAACAAGCATTACAAGAATATCTTTTGGTCTGTTGTCAAGCCAATCGAGGAGGTCTAATTGATAAACCAGGTCGAATTCCCGATTTTTATCATACCTGTTATGATTTATCTGGACTTTCGGTTTCCCAATTTGCGTTTGGAGCTGATATGGTTGTTGGTTCTCAATCCAATAAATTGGTAAATATTAACTCTGATTATCTCGACCAAAAAAACTTTCAGTCTTCAAGTCAAAATTTCGACTAATATTTAAAATTATCTCTAATTCCAGATTCCTGTTCATCCTGTTTATAATCTCACCATGAAATCAATAACTTTTGCCAATGAATATTTCAAAGATTATCCTTTTTCGTTACCAACCGATGTACAAAATTGAGATAATTTGTCATTAAAACAATTAGTATTGTTGTAAAATGTACAATTATGGTTTATTTCATCGTTCTCAGCGTGCTCACGACAGTTTTATTACATTGAATGAAAATCTATTTTTAAGTTACAATTCAAAGTTGGATACAAATGAAGAAAAGACAACTTAATAAGGTTAACAAGTGTTTGCTACAATTCTTTGCTTTTCTGTTGTTTAACTCGATCAGCTGATATTCTGGACATTGCCGATCGACTTGGACCTCATATTGTGGCTCTTAAATTACTAGTGTGCATTATTGAAGACTTTGATTATCAACAATTTACTGAGAATATTGGAAGATTGAAAAAGAAACACTCGTTCCTTGTATTTGAAGATTTTAAATTTGCCGACATTGGTTCACCTAATCAACAATTATACGTTGGAGGCATGTTTCGAATTCAAGATTGGGCTGACTTAATTACTGCTCATCTTAACTCTGGATCTGGAGCTATCGAGGCTTTGATTAAAGGTGTCAATTCGTGTGGTGGTCCAAGAGGTTGTTTGTTGATCGCGAAAATGTCATTTAAAGACATTAAATTGGATGAGATTGAAAATTGGCGATAAATTTCCCAATTGTGTCTCAGGTTTATTAGTCAATCACCTGTAACCAATGATCCTGGTTCACTCTTGGTGTGAATATCGATGTAAATTGCGGTACTTTGAGACAACAATACGTATCATCAGAAGAAGCAGTTATCAACCGAAGAGCGGATATTATAATTGTCGGAAGCGGAATCATGAAATCGGAGGATCCATTGGCTAAATTACTGCAATTCAAACAGTGAGGATTCAATAGTTACCTCAAAATGGTAACCATGACTACGTGTTTTCCTTAATCAATTTTGATTGTTTAGATAATCACAATAGTGATTGTATTGTGACAGTGAAGCAATTTCTCAGTCATTCTAATCGTCAAGCTAATTCATCAAAAATGCTACGAAATTCAAACTACCGAATATTCAAACAATTATCTTGCATCAGTAAATTGGTAAGTTAATCAGTAATTAAGTGAATAATTTTACTCAATTCCATTTATTTTTTCTACTTTTTCTTATTCATAATTCAGATGCGATTTAATTTTCCATGTTCAAAATTAACTACCAATCTTCCTCTCCAGACAATTAGATTATCATCTAGCGATGGTAAAAGTATCAAAGGAACTGGTAATTCAGAGTCGGGTAAAAAATCTGTAGTTGGTTATGCTGTTAGTGATTCAGCTTCGGGCAGGAAAAAGGTCAGAACCGTGGATATTGTGACGATGAAGGAAAAGGGAAAACGAATAAAATGTTTAACATGTTACGATTATACATTTGCCACGATATTGGATCGAACCAATATCGATATTGTTCTAGTCGGTGATTCGGCTGGACATGTAATGCAGGGTAAATCAAATACTCTCTCAGTTACTTTGGATCACATCAAGTACCATGTTGAATGTGTCGCCGCTGCAATAAGGCGACCTTTGCTAATTGCTGACATGCCCTTTATGACGGTTGGTCCAAGTTTAGAATTGACCTGTGTCAATGTTGCAACTTTACTTGCTGCTGGTGCTGAAGGTATTAAAATTGAAGGAGCTTCGGCCACCCTGTGTAAACAAATTGAATTCCTTGTTTCCTCTGGTGTACCAGTTATGGGTCATATTGGAATGCAGCCTCAGGCGGTTCATTCCTATGGTGGTTTTAAAATTCAAGGGAAAAATGAAAAAGCTTCCAACCAATTGGTACAACGAGCTAAAGACCTGGAAAGTGCAGGTTGTTTCAGTATGGTAATTGAATTAACCGATCCCTCGGTTGCTGATAAAATTACTAAATCAGTCAATATACCAACAATCGGCATTGGTGCAGGTAATTCTTGTGACGGAAACATTTTGGTCATTCAAGATATGCTGGGAATGAACATCGGCTTTAAACCTAAATTTCTGAAAACATTTGCCAATTTAGAGGAAGAAATTAGAACGGCAGTTAATCGCTACTGTGAAGAAGTTGATAATGGTACAAGTGAACCAATTTAATGAAATGACGACAAACAATTAAGATGCATAACTTTGTTAATCTCGTTCTTTTTTATATAATTGAATCTACAGTTTAAGTTTCTGATTATAACTTATACTCTCTCTCTCTCTCTCTCTCTCTCTCTCTGCCAATCGATTTACAAATTGAAATGATTTGTGATCATTAAAAACAATCATCTTGTTTTGTTAAATGTACAATTATGATTTATTTGAACGGTATCTCATTACCGTACACTTGATGTAATATTTGCAATTAACTTACAACTCTATTGGCTAAATAGATAACAATTTTTTTGCTGTTTTCTGAATTTCGCTCAAAGATCAGGCCTAATTTTGAAACCAGGTCCAGGCGGTGGGGATGTTAACGATGTTAAACCTCCTTTAGGCTCACAATTTTGTCGACCGCTACTCGCTGCTGGACCAATCTTTGGTTTCTTTCCGGCTTTAAGGTCATTTATAACCTGTGTGGCTTCATCTAATGTTAAATCTTCATAATAATCATCATTGATTTGCATCATTGGTGCATTAACACAAGCACCTAGACACTCAACTTCAATCACGGTGAATAGCTTGTCATCTTTACACAATTCTTTAACATGATTGAACAAATCATCAGCCCCTCGAAGCATACATGGAGTTGTAGTACAAACTTGAACGAAATATTTTCCTATGTGAAAAAAAATAGTAAGAAAAAAAAACCAAATCAATTTGAAAATAATCAAACACAGAAAGATGATCAAAATGGTTAAGATTAAAACCTTACACTTACCAACTGGTTGACGATTGTACATTGTGTAAAATGTTGCGACCTCGTATACTCTCATTCGAGGTACCTTCAGATAATCAGCTACAAAATTCATCGCTTTTAATGGTAACCAATTATCATGTTGACGCTGAGCTAAATCAAGTAAAGGCATAATCGCTCCTGCTTTATGTCCTTCAGGATAGATTTTTGTTATTTCTTCAGCTTTCTATATATGTTTGGAAATAAAAGAAGGGCGATTGTCGCAAGATTAAGAGAAAGATGATCAACAATAGTATGGATGATTAGAAAAAAAAGAAAACTTTAAATTAATACAAACCTTTTTATTTTCAGAATTCCAATCAAATTTATCAACATCAGGATCATTATTCCTATGGACAAATAGATTATCACTTAATCTTGGAGCTGAAGTTGTCAAGAAACGCTTTGAAGTCAAACCTCGAGCAATTAAACTGAATCCACGATAAAGAGACATGATTGATTAATCAAAATGTTGCAATTAACAATTAAAAACCAAACCTCAAACAATTAAGAAAACATGAAGAAAAAAAATCTCAAATCAAAACAATCACAAAACCGAAACCGAAATCGAGAATGATAACCGGATCGATTATTTTCCCGCTTGCGAAAATGAAAATAGTTGAAATAGAAAACAAAAGATGGCGCTCAATCACTATACGAACTTGATGGAAACAATTAAATTATTTTTCTTAATTGTGATTAGCCGAAATCTGTTAAAATCTTTTTCATCAACAAAATTGCTAATCTAATTGAATTTCCATCGTTTAATCTATCCATCATTTACTTAGTTCTCTGCCTAGTTGATCAAATTTTCTCGCTTTCATGTTGATTCCAAGTTGGGAATTGGTAAAAAATTGATTGTAAACAATAAGAAATCAAATAGATTGAAAATAATTTAGATATTGATCTTTAATCATCTTACCATTTTTATATTGTAAGAGTACAGAAACTAAGGTGATTCAGTAAAATGATCAGAACTAAATTTAGATCAAAAGAAGCAGGTTAAACAAATTGACCAATTTACAATTTAAATTGTTGACCATTTATTGTTAGCAATCAAAAATTGTTAACAAAAGGAAACAAAATTTACGAGGTTAAACTGTCCAATACAATTTACTTGGTAAAGTGTTGATAATTTATTAATACAATAAAAGATTTCCAAATATATATAAAAAGTTGAGATTGATCAGCATGATAACGATAACAATTTATCAACTGATTGTTGATCATAAACATTTGATGATAACTTTCAATCAAAAAAATATAATAATAATAATATTCTGATACAATAAACATTTAACAAATTATCATAAACAAAAGATTTAAACTGATAAAAACTCATGAATTTCAAGATTATGATACTGAGTCTTTCCAATATAATAACATTATCAATGTCATCACTGAACTTTTATCATGATAATATGATGATGATGATGATGAGCTTGAAGATGACAATCTTATCGGAAACCAGAGGTTAATATATTGTTTTGTTTTATTAGTCCAAGATTAAGATGATTATCAAGAGAGAGAGATTTCTGTTCATATTGACAGAATTTACCGCCTTTCACTTTTCATGGGGAAACTTGGATTTATCTCATGGATCAGAATTTTTGAAACTTTTCCTGTGAAAATCTTTCGAGAGATTGATATGATTCAGGATGAAAGAAGAAGAGAAAAATCTGAATTTCAATTGAATCTTATTCTTTTCGATTTTGAAAAACTAACGTAACGGAAGTGGAAACTTTGAAACGGAAACAGTTATGAATTCATTTTCACCAGAATTCAGTGGATTTAAGATGGTTCATGATAAAAGATGATAAATCTATCATCTTTCAAAGGTGAACACTTTAAATCATGTTAATCCATATTAAGGAAATCAAGGATTATCGGTAAACTTTTTACTCTCTTCTCAATTTCAACCTTAATTCTGATTCTTTATCATTAAATTGATGGTTGATTAAAAAATCAACCATCAAGATAATTAACTTTTCAACTGTTTCCAAGTGATTAAAAGTTTCACCATGATTTACAATTTGCTAATCCAAATCAAGAAAAAGTTAATTGTGACTACACCTTAAAGCTATGAATCTATTAATAACATATCAAATTTAAACGTAACTAAATCAACTCTCTTAATTAAAATTTATCTTTGATTCTATTACAATTTAATTGAAACAATTTAATAATAACAAGACTAAACCTGAAGAAAAGTGTTTTTGAAAAAGCAAAAATTAAATGACAAAAACCCTTAAGGGTTAAGTTGGTTAACCAATTGAAATATAAAATCCAAATTAAATTGTTACCAACTCTTCAGTAATAAACTAAATTAAACTGGTAACAATTGACGATGAACAATTAACTCATTGAAATCACAATTTAAAAGTAAATAAATAGAAAAACTTTTTTCACAAAACTGTTGATGATCAAAGATGATTAATACTAATCAATAGTAATGCAAATAAATTGTTCAATTTAAATTGTAATCATTACAATATATCAGAGTCCCAAGTAGATATACAGACAGAATTGTTAATGATAAAAGTTTCTCATAGTGAATAATATGAGAAAAACTTTTGATTCCATGAAAAAATCACCATGAATCATGATGAGATTCAGACTGAGATTCAACTGAATTATTGTCTATATATTAAGGAGGTCAAATGTCAAACCATTTTGAGAGAAAAGCAAAAGACAAAGTTGTAAACTTAAATAGATGTAATAATGAGTCTCCTTTGAGACAATTACCTGTACATTTACCTGTAACTTACCTTTTGACACTAAATTTGAAAGAGAAAAATAAAAAAATAAAATAAAATAAAATGAGAAGAAAAAAATTCTCAACTGAAAACTAAACCCAATGAACATTCATATAAATGAATAGTCATTTGGGTAACCATGGAAACTGTTAGCATTCTGTTAGATTATTAATGATTAGGAGACAGAATTTAACTCTGATAACATTAGCTTACATAGAGGAAGAAAAAAGTTAACGGTACTTTTCATCATTACCATTTGAGAGGAAGAAAAAAAATTTACTACTACAACAATTTACACTCTAATCTGATTAACTTTAAATCATTATCATCATCATAATGAACTTCGATTCCATATTAATCAGTAGATAATTTCTTTCCATTTGTTGTTATATCGGTTAACCAATAAAACTTTTGCCAAACAATTAAGATTTTAGATTCTCGATTCAACATTTTTTCCGTTTTTCTGAAATTACTTTTTTCTTGCTTCTTATACTTTGAATTCCCATGATAATTATGAATCTCAAGATTCAAATTTCTTTCAAAATTCAGTCTCATTTTTCATTAAAAGTTCAACATCTTACCTGACACTTATCTAATTATCACGATATCAGGTAAAATTAGATAACCACTTCCTACTTTGGGAGTTGTCTTCATCAGGGATTTCATGTTAATCCATCAAAACTTTAAGATTTTCAAAGGAAAACTTTTCAAATTCAAATATAATATAAATTGTCTCCTGGATTATATTTGATTAAGAATCGTGATGTAATTATTAGTGTTGAATGTTTTGTTTAATTGTAATTATAATACGACTGATTAGTGTTAATTGTTGTTGTTGTTGTTTGGTATATAATTATTATCGTTTCTTGGACGATACAAAATAAAAGATTAATGCTGATTGTTGATTAACATCAAATGAATATCAAGAGATTAAGTTAATCATTGATAAAGATTATTTTGAGTGGATAATAAGTTTCAGCATCTTCTGAATCATCATTATCATCATCATCATCTAATAACATGGAGTGATCTTGAAATAATAGCTCAAGATGATGATGATAATGATGATGATGATGATGATGATGATGTGTCTGGTGACTTATTGACCAGCAAGATGAAAATAAAATTGACTATTAAGAGGAAACCTGATGTTGTTTGGTTAAGAGTAATAAAAACAGTGAAGAGATAGACTAAACCTCTTGACCATTGACCAGACCAATTTCTTTCATGTTAATGGGTGATGACCATTGATGACCATCCTCACTTCATATCATCATCATTATCATTTTATAATAAACTAATTGTTGCAAAAATAATGGAGACAAACAAATGTAATATAATCATAACAATAATGAAAAGGCCATTGAATTATTTTTTCTTGACCCTTAACAATATATATAAAAATAGCTTACATAATGATGTCCATCAAGGTCCAGTGAAAAGGTTAACAGTATTGTTGTTATTGTTTGTTAACTGACCCTGGGTCATTTTACTTTCATCATTTAATGGATTAAATTGAGAATAGCATTTCCAATGTTATCCATATGTATAAAGACCATTGAGAAGGCGGGAAAATGATTCATTAACAAACGACGATGATGATAATGATGATGATTAGAGAGAAACAATCGATTTTTCATCATCATTATCATCATGGAAATGATGATAAAGGATTAAGTTAATGTGATAACCAAAGGGCGTAGTTAGTGGGCTTTTGATAGTTCGAGAGAGAAAACCAGATCAAGTCGAACTTTTTTTCTCTTCTTATTAAATGAATTCCGAGTCTCTCTCTTTCTTTCAGTAATTATTTTATTAACTTTTCATGCTAATTTAGTACAATTTGAATGATTCTAAGCATCCACCCAACATGGTATTCGGAAGAGTTATTAAAATGTATTATTAATATTGTGAGTAAAAATAATCTAATTAGATTGAAAATGTATCTTATCAATGAAATGAAACATTTGACAATTAATTTGAATTCAAGTTTGATAAATGAATGATTGATCTTGTCATTTGGATCTCATGTTGTTTTAATGTCAATGGTTTGATTGTTTGAATCAATATTGGTTAACAATTTAATTGATTATCTATAGGAGTTCAATTATCACCCATTAGAGTTGATTAGTTGTCCTTTTAAAAGGGTCAGTTTGAAGCTTCCGTTCATTTGGCCTCGCCCTTTACTCCCAATCTACTTGATATGTTGGATTATCATCTTACATCTTGTGCCTCGAATCGTTTAACCATCATTATCATCAGACTCTCTCTCTCTCTCTCTCTCTCTGGGTAATGTCCGGTAATCATACTGATATGATCACAAGAAACTGATGACCATGAGAAAAGGGGGTTAAAGATGATGAGTTAGATGATATGAGATGAGGAAGATATGATGATGATAAAGTCATTCAAGTGTAATGATAATCAACTGTTGATAGTATCATTTTGAGATGACCAGTGTCCACTAGAGAGACATTTAAAATCTCATCAAGAAACGTTCATAATTTTCCTGAACAATTGAATCTTAATTTTTCAAAGCAAAAACGATCAACAATCAACAAATAAAACGATCTCTTTAATTAATCATCTGAAACAATTATAATCCAGTTAAAACAAACAGACTGATGATCTATTTACTTGAAACACTTTTGTTTACTTTTCCATGTAATTACATCTAATGTCCAGTTGTTTGTCCATCTATTTGTTTTGTCCGGTATTTTATTTTCCAGGAAACAATAAAAAAACTGATACATTTTCTCAATAATATAAAAAAGCATAAGTTTCATCTGAAAATTTTTTATTTTCCTTAAACTTTGATAGTGTGGGAGACAAATAGAAGTGGTAAGAAGATAGGGAGCAAAAGATGACCAACAAAAAGTGATGAAAAAAAACAATGATGAGGATGAGAAAAGAGATTAAATTAAGTTAATCATTTTGTTTACATTGGCTAGGAAATTGTGTAAACATTGTAACTATTAATTTGAAAAAGATGATGAACATGATGGTTACCACTATTTGAGTCCAGTGTGAGATAAGGCCACTCTCCGTTACTGAATGATATTGACCAAGAGATGGAAGATGAAGAGAGAGAGAGAGAGAGAGAGAGAGAGAGAGAGAGAGAGATGATTGAGATGAACAATCAAATGATAATCATTTTTGTAGCAACAACAAACTGACCAATGCCCGCAGATGATTGGACATTGAAAGTAACGGTACTTTGGGAGATATTTGGAAACGGAATCAACTCAATTGTGTTGATGAGAGGGATAAGGTTATCATCAAATCAGGTGATTAGGATTAAGTGATTAGGATTGGATAGGATTATAAAAATACGTTAAAACTTGAGGATAATTAAGGTTAATCAATTGTTTTAACCGTTGATTATTTTGAAAATTTAGATTCAAGTTTGATTGTTAAAATACTTTTCGTTATTGATTAACACAATTGAGTTTTAAAACTTTCTTGTTTGTTTGACTTTCTATTTAAAGTTTAGACTAATACAATCAGGTTACAATTAGTAACTGAATTAATAGTAATCTATATGTACATAACGGTAATGATAATACATAAGATACATTATCATTAGTGATTATAATTAAAATGATAATAATGATGATGAAACTGATAATCATTTAACCTTATTCATGAATTACATTCACATTTCATTAGTAATCATCATGTTAATCATCATCATGATATATATCAGGGGAAAATTAAATTAACTCTTGAGTAAAATCAACTCTCAATGTTTATATTAAATCATCATCATCATTATCATTGTTTAATTATAATCAATGATTGAGAAACATAATAAAATAATTTATAATCAAATGATAGTAATTAAATTAATATTCACAATTTTGGTTCAGTTATTATCATTACCAATTAATAAATTAATATTGACATGATAATAATTAATAAATTGTTAATTGTTTACTAATCAATTTCAGTAATATTATTATTTGTATTTGATGATTCTGATGACCAGATTATTATTGTTGCATAAAAAATTATGAATTAACTTTAATTGTCATGAGAATCAAATATCATCATACAAATTATTGTTATCATAATCATAATCAATAAATTGCTGTTGGTGTTTCTATCATCATTTTTAATATTATTATCTAATCTAATTTGAAATTAATTGTTCACTGTGATGATTAGATGATTTTGCTTTTTTCTGATTACTCAATGATGATTATCTGATGAGATTAAATTGTTACAAGGTGTAAGATTAGATTGGGAAAGTCATTAAGAGTGGATTAAGTTAATCCCAATAAAATGAAAGGGTATCTCATTCATGGTAAGGTTACTAATCACCAAAACTGATTATTGACAATTAAATATATAAAACCATGACAACATTTCAATCAGTTAATAATAAGGTTTGAAAAGCAATTACTATTATCACAATGATGGACCAGGAAAAAAAAACAAACTAACAGGACAATTAACTTAATCATTTAAGTATCAACATTGTAATCATCAAGTTTATATTGATTATCATTAACAGGAAAAGGTTTAATCTTTACAAGATTAGATTCTGTTTAGTTAATCCAATTGAAATACACATGGATTAGTTAATTCAGTTGATTCAAACTGTTATATTACATATAAAGATGATGATAATTTAAATATATTATCTCAACAATTAACTTATGATAGTTTATATAAATTATAATTATGTTGTTACCATTAAAAAGTAACAATTAATATTAATTAATATCTTTATACACAACTAATTACGCTTAAAATTAGTTAATCACTGAGCCCAATTAAAAGGTCATTGTCATTGTTAAAATAATAATAACGTTAATTGAACTCAATTAGTAAATGATTATGATGATGATTAAAATTTCCCGTTAATTATAATAAATCTAGATCAATTTCCGGTTCTAATTATATTTATTCAAAAACAATGATTAACATTTAATACTTATGATTAACTTGATAAGCTTATCCATATGAATAATTGAAATATTAATAGTTATTACAATCAACTAATCAGTTGAATGTAAATCTGATCAATGAATTGAAAATATTAATAGAAAGGTAATTTATTCAATCAACAATCAAAACAGCAATCAAATAACAGTAACAATAACAATCAGTTAAATTGTTAAACCATATTGATAACAATTGATTGGTTGTATTGTAACTTAATTGGCAGTTAACTTGATAATATAATAACCCAACTAATAATATGATATTAAACTAATTATTCACAATTTGGTTTATCATCAATGGTAATCATCATTTACTAATATTAATAATTTAAATGGCAATAGTTATATATATAAGTGAGAAAGGATTAGTACAAGTTGAGGTTGTTTATCATTTTGAATAAAATATCATCATTATCATGATGATGATGATGATGATTATCATCATGTCCTATGAATTGAATCTCATCATTTACACAATCAAAATGAAAGGAGTGTCATCATCATGATGATCATTGTATTTGACGTGACTGATCATTAGATTGTGAATATGACAATGAGTATCAATTGCAAATCATTAGCAATTATCATCATTTTCAGAAATAGTATCAATCATTATCATCCAGACAAATCATCAATGATGATGATGAATACCACACCTACTCATGTTTCTCATTAATAGATGACCAATCTAATCAGTCTAATCATTAAATGTTACAATCAGAATAAAATTTCATTCTCAACTTAAATCTAACTTGATGATAGTTGAAACTTTTTATTCTGATTATTTTCTAATTTCTGTCTCATTATCACAACAATTAACTTATTCCACAAACAAATTAAATCAAAATAATACTTGACCATCACTTGGTCAGATGAGGAGACAAAGTTTTCGAAACTTTTTTTTTCTTATTTTCCAAAATTTTTTAAGTTGGATGGAAAAATATATTTACTATTATATTGGAATCGTATTGTCGTGATTTCTGTTAATGTGATAAATGTGAAATCATTTGAAATTGTTGTTAAAATCTCAATGATTTGATTTTCTAAATAAAATGTTGTAACAAAACACAATAAGTTAAGTGTCAATTCTGATGATGATTTTTACCTTTTTACCAATGATCCTAATTCCTGATTATAAACCATTATAACTGAACTTTTCCCTGTTTCTAGTTTCTTGTTGAGCTTAAATTTGTTATCATGTATGTAAAGAGTATGGATGGATAATACCCTTGGAATTGGATGAGACTCAATGTGAAATCCTAAGGGAAAGTTGAAACAGTATTAAGATAATAATAGTAGCTCTCTCTCTCTCTCAGCATCCCTAAAGTAAACAGACACGAAAAAATCACAGGCAAATAATAGTGATGATAATGATGATGATTGAGGTGATATGTGAGAGGGTAAAACATGGCAAGGAGATGGGATAAGGAATTGAAATAAGGAAGGAAGGAAGGAAATGAATATAAACATACATAGACACATAGAGATTGATATATTGCTTATGGATGAAAATATAATAAGATATGATGGGAGGTGGTGGGACTTTTGTGTTGGTATAATGATGAGGGTGGAAAATTGTATTCATCAAGAGGAAACATTTGTGGGTTACCTTTATTGGCGTAATTGGCATAGTTTGGATGATAAGATGATGAAGATTCAGCTATTTGTCTTTCCGTCCGAATTTGAATCTCTTCTGAATTATAATCAACCACCTTCTCATCTATGGTGGCAACACATCTAACCTTAAATTCAGGTAACTGAAAATGTTGCTGTTCAATGGTCAAGATAAGTCCAAGAATTTGGAGTCCTGGTTTACGGCCACTGTACAGTCTTATTTGAGATTCGTTGGCCTATTGGTCAATTTATTTGTTAGTCAATGAAATAGAAAAAAAAACAAAAAAGAAGATGAAAAAAAGTAAAGATAAAACTTACAGGTGATACAATTATTATGGTCAAGTTTGTGATGGTCAATCTTTACTATTTGATATAAAGGTAATTTATAATATCATCTCTCTCTCTCTCTCTCTCTTTCAACTCCTCATTATTGATGATCTATTTAATGATGAATCTTTATCATCATTTTTCATCATCTTTTATCATGCAATTTCTATCTTTATCTTCATCTTCTTTCTCAACCTTCACTCTTGAGATGATCCAATTTAGATCCAAATACTTTCCATTTTTATCCAAAGAACATTTTCTCATCATCATCCTCTCCCTCTCTCCCTCTCTTCCTCTCTCCATTTCTCAACCACTCAAAACCCAAATCTAATGTTACCCTATTTGTTTGATGAACCATTATCATCCTCATCCTCATCCTGATCATCTTCATCTTCATCTTCATCTTCATCCTCATCTTTTTCATCCCTCACCCTGAACATGCCACTTTAAACAACCTTTGATAACAGTTTCCTATCAATAGTCACGAGCAAGTTTACTATCACCATTCATCCATTTTTTTTTCTTCCTCCTTAATATTTGTTTATATCTGATTTTTTCTTCATCTTCTCATATTCATTTTTGACTTTCTCCATCCTCATCATCATCTTTGTTTTCCTTTTCCAATGTAACTTTTATATCACACACAAATATATATATTTGTCTTTTGTGATACTTTGTAATATTTGCTTTTTTTATCATCACCACCAAATCCCTCATTCAAATATATTCATACAAAAAACATCATCATGATGATAATATGGATTATTATGATTCTTTTACCTGATAAAATTTATGTATTCCTCTACAATCTCCTTTCATCACCTTCCATCATTTTCACCTTGATAATAAGTTACCTTTGGGTGGGGTTAGTCTTAATCTTATAATAGAAAGTTACAATTTCCAAGTAACAATAACAATTGAAATTAGTTTTCCTTTTTTCAATTCAATCTCTCAGGTGAATCTACATGATCATTGATGCATATCGATTGATCATCATCATGGAAAAGTTATCATGCAAGTCAATATAACGGTAAAAGAGAAAACCCATCATAACAATTAAACGATAGAATCAATTAGTAAATCAATAGAAAATTTCATCAATTATCAAATCATCAAAGCAAACAATGGAACACACAAATCAACTCACTTAACGAATATGATTGAAAATTCATAACTAATTATCATGAAATCGGTCAGTTAATGATATTGTTAATAGTTGTAAGTGAAATGTGATCAGTTTACAAAGTATTCATTTTCCATGATATCAGATTATCATTTATCTCTGTAAACATTTTCCTTTGAAAGTTAACGGTAAATTTTTCTTCCCACCCTTATATCAACCAAGCCCAGTTTCTATCTAAAGTTGAGAGAGAGAGAAGAGAGAGAGAGAAAGAAATTCTTGTTATCCACTTTTCTTTGTATTTCTCTTTCTTTTTCACCCTAAGGATATTCCCATCAGAATTTTATCCCTTCTCATCTACAGATAAATGTATTAATATCTCTATGAATGAATTCTGAATGAAATTGAAGCCAAATAAGCGTATATATACACCATAGGAAATCAAGTGAAGGTAAAAATGAATCGAGAGAAAACAAAATTTACAATCAGCCCATGGAACCGATTCATCTACCTGATATCAGATATTCTTATATGTTTATCTTCATGGAAAATACAATAATAAATACCCATAGATATTTTCTTTACCCAATCAGCCATGAAACCATTTCTTACCTGGCGTAAAAATCAATCACAATTTTTCATCTTCCAATCTAATTCCGATTCTCATGAAAAAATCATTCAATCTCTTCATCTGTTTCAATCTTTTCAATATTCAACGAGTTAACATACATAATCCAATTGATTTTATTCTTGATTGATGATTGATCAATTATCCTTTCATGCTAATATATTACAATTTAACCATCAATTTATTTTTATATTAGATTAAGATGATGATGATAATTACCTTGTCTTCATTGATGAACCAACTAAGATGAGCAAGTTTAGAATGAGATGTACAATTAAGATAAAGTGTATCATTGACTCGATACTTATTAACAAGATTATCTCTTTTAAGGATTAACGGAGCCTCTTTTTCAACCTTTACTTCAGCTCCTGGAAAAGAAAATAAAGTTTCCGTTTTATCAAAAATTCTGAATTCTATTTTAAGTTGATTATGGTCAGTTATTAAGAGCTTCACTTACCATAGAGATGCTTATGAGATTTACTTCTTGAACTATCACCAAGTGGATATTCAGATGATTCAAATTGAAAAGCAAGGATTAAATTTGCTCTACATTGGATTCTGAGTAAACCCTTTTCAAAGTAACTTGTATGACTATGGAAGACTAATCCTAATTTCGTAACAAAAAGACCATTGGTTGTATTATGTACAGATTTAGTGAGCTTTTCACCGGACGTTGGCTGGACAATTAGAAGGTGATTAAGTTATTGGAGCCATTGAAGGGGAGAAAAGGTAAATTTAAAGGATTAGGTTGTTAGTCGGTTTTGATTTTCGGGCTTTTTGAGATCATTTGAGATATTGAGATGAGTCAATTCATTAACGAGAAAAATCATCTCTAATCTTAATCAATCTTGAAGAAGGTTAATTGTTTAGGTTAACTAACCTTTCGGTCATTAATATACCAAGATAATCGTGCTGCTGGTTTAGATGGACCTGAAATACAAGTTAAATTGATAATGTGACCAATGTCATATTCGAGCTCCTTTCCTTCAATGGTCATCTTTTCATCAGGTAAAACTGGACATGAAATAAAAATCGTAAGTTAATTGAAAATTCATGAATTGGGTCAATCATTTGTTATTTCATAGCAACTTGTTTGATTTGACCAAGAGAGAGAGAGAGAGATGGACAAACTAAATTAAAAAAGTTAATCAATATGTTGTGTCTGGTAAATGTGAGGAAAAAAGTAAAAATTTTAATTTCAATGGACAAATTGACCATTTAAATGGTCAAGGTAAATTTCATCATCTGTTTGTTTCAGTCTCATCTTCAATTCATTAACTTATGAGAAAAATAAACATTATTCAGGTTTATTTATATACTACATTCAGGGTATTCAGATACCTTGATGGTGTTAATCAACTTGTAACTATTAACTTTTCATCATCAGCAATTCAACTGACCAAGTCTTCAAGTTTTCTCGCAAACTCCCCAAAGCATATACTATCTAACTTTCAACCAGAATGCTTCATGATTATTTCTGAAGATGAAAGTGGTTAAAAAATGAAGATATATATACCCTCAAGGTAAGAATAGGAAGTAGAAAAAAAAACTTCAGGGAAAAGGAGGTGGTTCCTCTTTTATCATCTTCATATATTAAGCTTCAGCTTTCATTCCCTGAGAGTTCAATGATTGACTTGAGGAATCAGCAACAGGAAAAAAACTGAAATAGGGAATATACACAGAACCCGGAACTAGAATAAAAAATTAGCACCAAAAGAAGAGAAAAAAATTATTCCAAAGATGAATCTCCCTGTATCTCTCTCTCTCTCTCATGATAACTTTTCGATAGAAAGTATCAAATGCTTGGAGATAAAAACAATGTTCCAATATCTTTACTCGGACAAAGAGTAAAAGGTATACCATGTTAATAGATGAAAGTTGGTTAACATGGTATAAAAGTTACTCGAAATTCATTGAATTTCATCCTGAATGATTAATCAGATTCTGAATGGTTGATTTTACAATAGTTACTCGAATCCCTATTGGTGAGAGAAACTTTGATTTCCATTTGATTGTTTGAAAGGACAGTCAAGAATTCATCTGAATATTTCAAGTTCTCTGATGATGATGATGATAAATTCAGATAATTCAGTAATAATGGTTAAATCTAGTTCGAGATTGGGTCAACCTTAATTCCGATAAAACTAATGTCCATCCACTTGGACTTATCTTTCTATTGGTCATTAAATGATGTTTCCTTTTTTTCCCTTCTTTTCAAATCTCTTTAGTTATATATCTTTGGATTGTTATTTTTCCCCGCTATCTAAAACAAGTAACATGACTTTTGAATCTCAACAATCACCTGAAATCTTTATCATCATTTCCTCCCTTAACCTTAACCTTATCATCCTCTTCTCCTTACAATTTGACCCACACGCTATTATCTTTGACCATCATCAGCTCTTCATCTTCATCAGTAGATCTCATTAAACAAGTGTTACCTTTATATTGACCATTGACAGAGGACAAAAGTATTTTCTATCCATTTAACTGTAGCATTTACTTTCAGGGGATGAGAATGTTTCAAGAGGAGATACATCAGATTATCTTCCACTCTCTCAATTTCCTCCTTTCCAATTCACACTCCCTGTCATCATCATCTTATAACAATCTCCTGAATCTTTCCTTACAAATCATCTGAATATCTCTCAGTAATCAAGTAAACTGTTTCCTCCATCAGAGTTATCAAGTTATCTCACTAATTACAATCACAATTGAAACCGATGATAAGATGGAGTTGAAACTTTTTCGCCGAAACAAAAAGTTTCTCGAAAAAAGTTCTAAAGACGAAAATTCGATAAGAACGATCTTTAACAATTAAAGAACGACCCTAGTCACAATTCACTCCCTAACAATTAAAAATTACCGGAGAAAATAATACTAATTACTAATTGTTACACCAACAATTAGGCTGTCTTTGGATAATTATACAATTAACATCTTATTGGTAAATAATTTCAACGAATCACATTCATAATATTGATTATCCGGAAGGAGATGTAATTATTTTGATAACAATTAGAATTGGAAATGTTGATCGGCTCAATTGGGCTCAAATCGATTGCTAATTATCGGGGAATTGGTTGATTGTTAATTTACCATAGATTTTCATTTGTCTCTCCGCTCTAATTGTGGTGTACATTTGATCAGTTGACACTTCGCAGGCATATGAACCTTCAGAATTAAGATCAGTTCGAGTGAGAGTCACATGAGTAGCATTTGAGTTTGAAATCTGAGAGAAAGAAAAAAACAAACAAAATGGTAATTAATTAATTTAATTGTGATCATTATGATTCTTTGTTAGTAATTTAACACACCCGTAATTAACTATTCTTTCCCTTATCCTCAGAACAGGCAAACAATTAAAAAGTTAATTGTGATTCTTTTTTTTTCTGTACTAATTATAAATCTGATGAGTTAGTTTATGTTCACAGTCTGATTAATGATTTAAAGGGTTGGCTTATAAAGTTTATAATTAACAACACAACTACAATTAGCATGATTGGTTAACAATTAATTAGATCAATTAAAAGTTTAACAACACGAAACAGTTAATCAGGTAACCTTTCATTATTAAATGTTAATTAACACAATACTGATAATTTGTTGTAACAATTAAAAAATCAGATCATCTTTGTTATTACTTGATAAGTTAATCAGTGAATTAAATGTAAAGAAAAAAGGAAAAAAAATTAATGTTTCATATTAATCACTAAACATGATAACGTGATTTGAGTTAATTTAAATTTAACTAAATTAGTTGTTGGTAAATTAACATTAATCAATAGTTGGTAGCTAATTTAAACTTCTCGACCTAAGAAAATGTTTCATTAACATGATAATCTTTCAGTTGATCTTAATCAGAATGTTAATCAACCAATATTGTCAACTAAATTGTCGTTAATTATGATGAATATCGATGATTTATTGATTGTACTTGATACGAACGGAGATGAATCATGAAATAAAATTTTCGATTGAAGTTCGGTTCTAATCGGTTGTTCGAGCTTTTTTTTTGTTCGTACTTACATCAACATAGGCACCTTCGAGTGGAAATGTAGCTTCTGGCTCCGATCCTGAAGGAATGAATCGGAAAAATTCAACATAATTCTTATACCATTTAACGGAATACAGGCCAAGACCTTCGAGATCATAATCACAGTATAAAACTACACGGGAACCATTAGGAACCGATGAGGGAACTTCAATTCTGTTTATCCTTAGTCCATCAACTCCAATGTGATAACCTGAACGGAAAAAGAAATGGAAAACCCAATTATCACTTGAATATTATTAAAAACGATCGAAATTGTTGATGATTAACTAAAACCAAATGGATGATTTAATTACTCTCTCATAATTCAACACAATAAATGTGACTTAAATTTTCATTCACAATCAATTGATAATGAACATGTAAAGATAAGATGACAACAGGAAGACAGGATAACATGATTGATGATGGAAACTCAAGTTGACTATTTTTGATAATAAATCGGAAGTTGTTGCCAACAGAATCAGATTATCAATATTATTATAGTAAAACTTATTCACCTTGATTATGACGGAGGGTTATGTTGATAATATTACAAAGAGACACAAGTCAATTGGGGTTAATAGTTTCACCCACCGTCATCAACCATCAACTCCCACCGTGTAAAGTGATACCATTACCATGAGATCACTTATTTACTTGGAAATCGTTACAATCCAATTCCCACTTTCTCTTTCATCAACGATATCAAAATGTATCAACATCTAAAAGTATATTATCATTATTTTTATTGTTAGAACTTTGGAAAAAAATAGTTCTAATAATGAATGTTACCCTTAGGATATTTCAACCTTTCATCCACTTTTCTTTCATACTTATCTACCTGTTCAAAGGTAAATACATTGTGATGTAATAATAATCTGAGATAATGATAATTTATCCTACTAATATATAAACTCACCCATTAATATTGATTCTTTACAGCAATTTAGTTGATCACAATTTAACTGAATTTGCTAAATTGTTGAAGGTAAAAAAAATTGTAACTCAATTTACTTGGTAAATGTTATTGTCTCAAAATCATTGTAATAATCAATTTGTAATTGTATCAACAAAATTTGATTGTAATAAGTATTGATATTGGTTAGTTATCTAATCCTTAAGACAATTAATTTGATCATGTTTAAGTTGATGATGATTTTTAATCACTTAATGATTAGGATTGTAAGTCATGATTAAAGTTAATTAATAGGTATGAACCATTTTGACAAATCATTTGAATTTATTGATTGTTTTCAAACTGAGGCAAATGTTTTACAATTTAAATTGTTCATCAATATTAAAGTGCTTAGTTTAAATTGTTAACCGACAATAATTTACTCTTAACGATAGTTTAATGGTTCAATGGAAAAAGTGAATTAACAAATCATCTTGTTAAAAGTGAATCAATTAGATAGAGAAGAAAAAATTAATTCTCTTTCCCAATACAAATCAATCGATAAATAATTTACCGAATTTAGAATGAAAATATTCAATATTTGACCAATAGAATTGTCGAAAATAATTTATGGGAAAATTTTCGTTTTCTCAATTCCCAAGAATTCTGAATACGTTAGATTATTATAATTCATATTTGATGCTCATCTTATCTTCATGAATCACCCACAACATGATGGTTGTCATTGAGTGATTAAGATTGATTATGAATCAATCATATTCCCCTGTCATCAGAATCCAAGAGATTATCTTAAACTTTTACCTGTAATCATCATGTAAATAAACTAACTAATCATGATTAAGACCATCACATGTTAATAAAGTGATTGTAAATTCAAATTAATGATTAATTGTCCTTGCAAAGAGACGAGCAGACAAATCAATACCACAAGAAAATGTAAACAATCAACAACCTAAATATAATCATTTTTGATTGTTATTATTAATATTTACGATGATAAACCATTAATCCAATAACCATTAAGATGAATAATTAATTAATGATACTGATAGTTATTGAAAAGTTGCTCAATTGATTATGAAATTGTCACAAATGAAAAAAAAATCAATTTGATTGTTGTTTTATCATTAATTTTATATTATCAAAATTATTTCCATTCAGACAATTAGTTTGAAACGAAAGGACTTTCGTTAGAGGTCATTGCGATTCTGTGTAAATGCCGCTTTTAGGACTTATATCTTAAGGTTTATCCAGTACCAAGGTTATTCAAGGTCACCTGAAGTTTTTTTTTCGATCATAACAATCTAACTGGTCAGAAGTTTGGACCGAGGGACAAAGTTTTTTTTCAGTTCGAATGTCGTAACTTGGGCTCAGATATACATGTATATCAATACATGTATTTCCAATCAGATCAATTGATAAATCATTAAGAAAAGTTGGAATCTTAATATTACATATTTTAGATTAAATTTTCATGGAAATAGTTGTGAAACTTTTCACGTTTCTCGATAAAATCTGAATATGATTATAAAAACGTTATCACCCTGATCGAAACAAAGAATGAAACAAGTAAATGGTTTTATTTAAATCCATTAAAAGTCAAGAGATTTAATTTGATTGTTTAGCTTTTAATGAATCAATAGAGAGCAATAGATGGACACTAGATGGATAACTGAACACGACAAAAGTTCATCATTCATGGTGGAAATGCTCTCAACATCATGAATCTTCAGGTATCATTGAAACATCTTCAAGTATCAGAGGTTAGAGAGTAAGAGTAACATTTTCTTCATCTCAAAGTTACCTTTGGATTCGTGATACTCATTTCTGAAGAGAGAAAAAAATAATGAGAGAGATTGAAGTTCATGATGAAGATAAGCATGATGATAAGATGGAGAAACTGAGAGAGAGAGAGAGAGTAAAAGGAAAAACGTTGTAGTAAATGTTGAATATGAATTGAAAAGATGATGAGAAAATAAGAGAAGAGAAAAAAACATAAGTTCTGAAACTGTTCATGAGTTTTATCGTAAGTTTATTCTGATTACTCAGAATCACGCAATTCAAGGGTTGACAATATTTGAGTAAAAAATATCACCAAGAAGTAAGAAAATTTCCTCATCATCATTAGTTTTAGCTTTTTATCATCAAGATGAAACATCTTCCTAAACATCATGATGAACCCTCACCAAGTATCTAAAGATAAATCAGAATACGATGAGAAGCAAAAATAAAACTATTGAGCCAATTCAGAAATATTCATGAGCTTATCATGAAACGAGTTCAACATTCAACTGATAGAAAAGCATCATCATTGGATTTTAATCTAAATGATGAATATAATAAACAATATGCAACATTTATTGCGAAATTTATATTTATTATTTTCGAAATAATCGACAAAAATTGGAGTAAAGATTATTCAGTAAAATTCATCCCCGTTCTCAGAATCTCAGGTAATCCAGGAGTACAGAATTTGGCTAGACAATAGTTGAAGGTGTGATTCCCGTTGGAAACATTGAACTTGAAGGAGAAAAAATTTCCAATCTAATCTAAGAGGATGGAAACAAATTCATGGAAAGTAATCATGATAATTCTGGGCTCTTTTATTCAGATAATTCTGATTTTCTTGGGTCTACTTTTCATCTTAAACAAGTTTAGTTAAATTCCCATAGGAAACATAATTTACTTTACCCTAATAGCTTAACTATTATTGAGATTATTTTCAGTTTCCATGATATAATCTTGAGCATATTATTTGTATTGTCAATGAGCTATCATCACCATCATCATGATAACTTATTTCAAACGATGAAAGTTTAAGTATTCATGATGATGATTCCGGTTTCATATTGATAAATATTCAGTTTGAAAATGATAATAATAAAAAGCAAGGTTGACATTTACTATCGAGCTGAAACTAAACCTTTTCCTTACCATTATCAAGATTTGATTGTAATCTAAAGCAATGATAATCAATTGTCATTGTCACAACAATCAAAGTGAAACAATTGTCACAAGTAAAAATGAGAATCGTTCATTGTTTATGCAAACATTTAAGATTTCATCTAAATTGTTTCGATGAGAGATTAATCATCATGATAATCACAGAGTAGATTAAAAGTTAATAGTTAACAGTTTATTTCTTTAGGATAATAAAATGCTAACCATGGTCATCATTAGTTGACCAGAATTTTGGTCTCATTATTAACCCGAAACTGTTTGATTTGAGTTTGTAGTTTTTATTGATCAAATGATTTTTGGGTGGAGTTGTTATATTGTTGATGATGATGAGAAACCAGGGAGATATTTCATCCTCCATGAATTAGTAATTCCTATTTGTTATTATCATTGAGAGAGAGAGAGGAGTGAGAAAGAGAGAATGAAAAAAATGATTCGATTGTGAACTTTTCATAGAGAACTGGATTTCATTCAGATCGTAATTTAAATGTTACCTGAATCCTTTTCTTTCTTACTCACTATTTCAATCATATCCTTCCAAGTACATGATGATAATATGATGATGTCAATTTAAACAGGATAACTTTCAGCTCTCTCTCATATTTTTTACCCTCCAACGATTTTAGGTTAATCGAGGGCAAGATTATTTTTATTATTTTACCTTCACTCTCATAAAATGTATTTATATATAGTTCATTAGGGTTAATTGTTAAGTTGATCTTTTAATTATTCATGAATCAGTTGGATATCATTAACCAAATACCCTCAGGGTGATTTGTGTATTTCAATCGTTAATCAATATGTATAGAAATGTTACTTTTTTCTGCTGATTAATTGTTAGTTAGCATTTCTTTTTTTTTCTTCCTCTAGTAATTAGTGACTCATTGAAAAGGTCAAGTGTATTTTTGTAATGGTCAAGGTAAATTGTATTTATAATTATCATTTGTATATATGCATGATTTTGAACAACTTTGAGATTTCAAGTTTTTTTTCACTCAAGCAACCGGAAGTTTGCTCACTCTCATCAAATCCTTTTCCGGTTTCTTCAAACTCATCCCATTTATTATTATTATTGGACATTTCAACTTTTGATTTTGAATTTCCGGTTCAACCATTTAATTGATTTGTAAATAATAATTAAAGTTTAAATTAATATTTACAGATTCAGTTCAGTTAATCAACTCATTTGATGAGTATATTGTTATTAAATGTTTACTTAATTCATGTTGATTGTTAATACATAAAAAAATTTATTAACTGTCACTTTCCATCAAATAACAATTTAATATTCACATTGGGAATTATTTATAATCACTAATCAAATTTAATTGTCTGAT